GTGTGTGTGTGGTGTGTGTGGGTGGGTGGTGGGTGTGTGTGTTTGTGGGTGGTGAGAGAGTGTGGTGAGAGATTGTGCGTGTATGCGTGTATATGCGTGTACGCGTGTATGACGGACACAACTGCATGCGGACAGGTTCAAGCGTGCATGATCATCGAAAGCATAACATGCAAGTTAACTCACAAGGACACAGCCATGGCCTCATCGACGATGCCGTCGCCAGCGCGCAGAAAGGGTGCAACATCGTCGGACAGAACTTCTCGCGGACGGTTGTCATTCGCACGACCTCTGGCCAGTTGCTGCTGATCCTGCTGTGCTTGGTTGCGGGGTTGGGAACGCTGGTTGCCACGTTCACGTCGGCGAGGATTGCCACGGGTACGGCGAGGGTTGCCAAGAAGAGCATCCCTCATAAGGCGCGCTTCACGCTCTGAGACCCGGTCCATTGCGGGCCTTCAGTTCGTGGCGGCTGACGCTGGTGGTCGTTAGTGGACGCTGGTGGAAGCTGAGCGAGATACGTCAGTGTGTGTGTGTGTGTGTTGGGGGAGGTGGGAAAGGAAAAAAAAATGATGCTCACGCACGGGGGTGAGATCCGGTTGTCGGTCGGACAGTGCGTCAGTTTGACAAAACAACAACTAACTGACTGACTGGTGAAAGGGAAAAGGAGAAGTACAGTGCAAGTGCACACTGCCACGCACACGATCGTCGACCGATCGTCGAGAGTGTTGTGTTTGCGGACAGCAGCGGCGGAAGGGAACAACAAACACACAAACAAAGGACGAAAATTTTCGGGTTCGATTGTCCAACTCGCTTATTTGTGCATCGAATTATTATCGATATTATCGATATTAGTCAAATTTCGAGGCTAGAAAAGTGGTGTAAGCTTTTGTTTGTTTTTCGTGCAGAGGAAGGACAGTGGCGAAAAGCGGACTTTTGTTAGCTTTGTTGGCTTTGTTGGCTTGTTGGAGGGGCCTGAAGGCCTGAGGGGCTTGTTACTTTGTTTGTCTGTTTGCCTTGCTGTTTGAGTGTTTGTGTCTCGTCCTGGTTGTTCTTGTTGTGTTTCTTTGGTTGGATGTGTTCTGTTGTGCATGTTGTCAGCCTGTTGTCTCGTCGCTGCGTTTGGATGCTGACGTGTGGTGCGTTTGGAATTTTCGTTTCCTGACTTTCTTTGCGTGCAACAGATGTATGCTGCTATGAAATTCTAACGTTGAATGTAGGAATGTGTTCCCAACACCAACAACAACAACTTAAACAACAACTTAAACAACAACTTAAACAACAACTTAAACAACAACTCAAACAACAACAACAACAACAACAACAACAACAACAACAACAACAACAACAACTTAAACAACAACTTAAACAACAACTTAAACAACAACAACTTAAGCAACAACAACAACTTAACAACTCAGAAAGACACCGGGATCGAAGATGTGCATTTTTTTCAAACAACTTGAACAACTTTAACAACAACACGCCATTCCCTTCGCCTCTCTTTCTCCCCTTTACCCTCCCTCCCTTTCCCCCCTTTCCTCCACCCTCACCACCTCTTCTTCCCAGCTTCTCGGCTGTCGCTATTGTTTAATCAACACGAGACACAGGCCAACACGGCACAACACAAATGTCTAGAACACACATGACATGGCATGTTGCTATGCCGCGACGCTGAACAGATCTTATGAAAGCATAACCCAAAGCGGAAAAGGAGGAACAAACATTGTACACAAATTAGCAGGGGGTGCCAAGTCAATGAGCACACTAACACGAAACATCAGAAAACAAAAGAAAGGCGCAAGTGCTCAAGCAGCCGCCCTACAGCAACACGCGCCCGTGCTGTTGAAGACAACTACTTGACAAGCGCCGTCTCAGAACAAAAAATAACGAGCACATTACCAATGCCACGCCACACACCACACATGCACACGCCCATTCACGCATACTCACACGCACACTCATACACACGCTCACATCCACTCACACCCATTCACGCGCACATGACGCGCAAGATCACTTGTGAACCCGGGAATACACGGGCTCATCGTCATCGTCGTCCTTCTTTCCGCCACGTGCGCCGCTGTCCTGCAGCGACGAGCTGTGACAGAATCAAACAGCACCAACGAATCAACGTGAGCAAGAGCATTTGGGGGATTGAGAGGCCCCGCGCAGAGGAGCGTACACAGCAGCCATAACCTTCCAATCTACCGCCCCACCACACACACACACACATACACACACACCAACACACGCTCACACACACGTACACAATCACACACCAACACACGCTCACACACTAACACACACTCACACACACACACACACTCACACAATCACACACCAACACACGCTCACACACTCACACACACACACACTCACACACACACCACCACCACCACACACACACACACCAACACCCCCCCCCAAACACATTTTCCTGAAACACACCTGTTGACGTCGCCCGCCTGCTTGTACACGTCGTCATCATCGTCATCGGCGTCGCCGTCCGTGGCGTTGTCCTGCGACAGCACGTCGCCAGCCAGGCCATAGTCGTCCTCGCTCTCATCCTGCTGCTTGCGCGGAGCTCGCTTCGGCTTCTTGCCCCGCACCTTGCCGGCAAAGCTGTAGTCGCCCTCGCCATCGCCATCGTCGTCGTCGTCAGCCTCGCTGCCAGAGAAGTCGCCAGCAAGCCCGTACGTCTCGTCAATGTCCATGGACGCCTTCTTCCCCTTTCTGGGCTTCTTCTTCCTTGGCTTCTTGCGCTTCGATCCGCCGTCACCGCCAGCGTCCGCCAGCCCGTACGTGTCGTCGCTCTCGTCCGCATTGCTGCCGCTGCTCACAAACGCGCCAGCAAGGCCATACGTGTCATCCTCGCCCTCAGCAAGCCCGTAGATGTCGTCAGTGTCGGACCCAGAGCCACCGCCACCGCGACGGTCGTGCATTGCGCGCGCATAGTCGCTGTCGGAGTGGCGAGCCGCCTTCTTTCCGCGCTTGCGGGCGGCGCCCTTGCTTCCGCGAGCACCGACCTTGTTGGCAAACGCGTAGTCGCCCTCGTCGTCGTCACCGCCAGAGCGGTTGTCGTATTTTGCGGCGAGCGCGTAATCGTCGTCGTCGTCATCGCCGCCTGTGCGGTTATCGTATTTTGCGGCGAGTGCATAGTCGTCTTCGTCATCGTCCCCGCCTGTGCGGTTGTCGTACTTGGCCGCGAGTGCGTAATCGTCATCGTCCCCGCCTGTGCGGTTGTCGTACTTGGCCGCGAGTGCGTAATCGTCCTCGTCATCGCCATCAGGGTTGTCGTACTTGGCAGCAAGCGCGTAGTCGTCTTCGTCCTGGCCGTCGCCCATCTCGTACTGTGCGCGGCCCGCCTGGTCGTACGTCTCCTCGTCATCGTCCTCCGACCGCACCAGACCGTAGTCCTCCTCGTCGTCCTGCGGTGCCAGCTTCACATCGTCATACGTGGCCTCAGACCCGGCCTTGCCGTAAATGGCGCCACCGTCCTTGCGTCCAACGTAGTCGTACGCGTGGTGCACCTCCCCAGTCTCGGGGTCGACATATGTGCGCGGCTGGCCGCTGCCGGAGCGACGCCCGCCGCCGCCCATGCCACGGGGGTGCGGGACTGGTGCGCCGTAGTCAAACGTGTCGTCCGCCTCCGCCTTCTTCTTCCGCTCCTCTGCTGCGCCTGTTGCGTTGCGTTGCATCGCATCGCATCACATGGCATCGCGTAAGCAACAAACACCAGGGCACACAAGCAAACGTGAGCACAAGCAGCGTGGGCCCTTTCAACGCATGCATCGATGATAGTCACGCAGCAAGCGCTGAATGCGCAAGCAAGGATACACAACACAAGACAACACAAGACAACACAACACAACACAAGACAACACAACACAACACAACACACACAGACACGGGCAAGACAACAAGCTTACGTCGGTTCTTCTTGACGAGAATCACAGATGCGACAACAATGGCTGCAAGCGACATACAATCGCGCATTAAACAAGCACGTGCATGGTGAGTGATGACCCGCAGAAAGCGGCAACACAAGGAGAACAGCAGCAACAACAACAACAGCCGTCACAACCATCACCATCTCCGTTTCCGATCCCCTCCAAACACGCAAAATCACACACACACACACACACACACACATACGCACACACACACACACATGCATACACACACACGCACAACCACTGACCGATAAAAGCGACGGCAGCGGCAATGTAGATGATGAGTTGGCCCTGGAGCGTCTCAATAAACGACTTGCTCGGGGCCGGGAAGGCCAGCTTGGAGCACTGTGCCCCAGCAGCCTCGAGATGTGCAACGCGACCACCGACGCGTGCCTGCGGTGTCGTGTATGCCACTGTCGCATCCAGGCACAGCAGCGAGTCGCGCGTGTTGAGGGCCTCGTCCACCAGCAGCACTTGCGTCACCGTGATGGCGTCTGCGTCCACCGCAAACGACGACACGTTGTACGGCTGCGTTGCATTCAGCGGCGCCGGCGCATCCGTCCAGTGCTCAAAGACGGCGCTGCCGCTGTATGCCAGCGTAGTCCGCACGTCCTCCGCCAACAGCGCAGAGGCGTTGGTGTGATATACGGTGACAGGCACCGTCACGTACGTAAACACCACGCCGTCTGCCTGCACCAGCCGCTTCACGTTCAGCGTGGCGCCGGGCAGCGTCACGTTGAGCTCGGGCCGCGCAATGTTCACCGTCACCTCCGCGCCGCCGCTGCTGCCGTCAGAGGCCAGCGCCGTGCTCAGCGTCACGGGCACGTTGGTCCCCAGCGCAGTCACGTCAAGCACCTCGCCCACAAGCATCACCTCAATCTTGTCGCTCGCGTTGAACGTGTTGTCCGGCATGTTCAGTACGCGCCCAAAGCGGAACTCTGCGCCGACATACTCGTCATCCACGTTGAACGTCGACGACGCCACGGGACCGGCATCACCACCGCCTGTGCTGTTGCTGGCGCCACCAGACGCGCGGCGGCGGCGGAAGGCGGACGCGCCATCCACATCGCTACTCGTCAGCGGCACAATCTCCAGGCCGGAAATAGCCAGCTGCTCACCGGCGCGCGTAATGTTCGCCTCCACGACAGACATGACGGGTTGGCCGTCCACAAGTGGGAAGGACAGCTGCGACACCAGGTCTGTCATCAGGCCCTCTCGCAACGGCAGCACCAGCGACATGCTGAACCGCTCGCCGGTCGTCAACACGGGCACGCCGCCCTCGCCACTGCCAAAGGACGCCGTGGATCCCGTGAGCGCGAGCGCTGGATCCGCCATGCCGTCCGTCTGCATCGATGCGGACGTGAACAACTCCGCCGTGCGGCGCGGCGCCACTGCGCGGGAGGTGTACACCAGCGGCACCAGCGCGCCGTACGTCGTGGCAAGCGTCACGTTGTACTTCAGGCGCATGCGCAGCTCAAGCGTGGCGTTCACGCCTAGCGGTAGGGACGGCAGCATCACGTACAGCACGCTGCCATCTGCGCTAACATCCGATGCGCTGCCCAGCGTGGTGTTGCTCGTCAGCGTGATGTAGTCGTCCATGGCCTGCAGCTCCAGGCCTTCCTCGTCCACGCTCACCACAAGGGAGAGCTCGTACCCGGTGTGTGTCGATGCGGCCGTGTGCCAAATGCGGTGCGTCAGCGTCAGCACGTCGCCAGCATCGCCGCCCTGGGGCGAGATGCTCGTGGCAGACGCAAGCAACGGTTCCACAATGCGCACGGGCGTGCTCAGCTGCACGCTCAGGCCCGCAAACGCCGCCTCCTGCGCCAGGCTGCCCTGCATCTGGCTCACAACATACGCCTCGTCCAGGACGATAAACGTCACGTTGAACGAGAGCATGTCACCAGCCGCCAGGCTTGACGACTCCACCAGGTTCTCCACGTGACCAAAGTCAACCATGACCTGCGTGGCGGACGTCGTGTTGGCCGTCACCTGCGCCAGCACCTGTCCTTCCGTGGCCACAATGTTGCCGCCAACGCTGTCTACCGCCGACGACACCAGTGCCACCAGCGGCCGTCCGCTGCCGTCTGTCGGCAGGTCAAACGTCACAACCAGCGCCGAGGGACCCTTGATACCGATGGCTGTCATGAACGTCACTTCCTCCTCAATCGCCAGGTCGCCGCCTGCGGTTGTGGCGTCGTTGGTGGCGTACGAGGTTGCCATGTCCAGCAGCACCACGTACAGCGTGCGGAATGCCGCGCTGTCGCTGTACGGCCGGCCCAGGCCTGGTCGCGGACTCGAGTCGTACGACAGGTCCACAGTCACGTCCAGCGGGTGTGCGCCGGGTGCCTGCGCGTCCACGCGCACCATCACGTCAAACTCAATCACCATCTCCTCGGGCACGCTGCCGTAGTCGTACACAATCGTCGTGCTGCCGCTGCCCAGCACCGTGTCCACGGTGGAGGCGGGCCTGGACGCGCCGCTCGTGTGTGCCGTCGACTCGTAGTGCAGGTACTCGGGCAGCGTCACCGTCACCACCACGTCGTGGCCAAAGGAGGGCGTCATGCTCACGCGCAGCGGCACCAGCTGACTCCGCCTCACAAACGCCGCCGCCGGGTCGGTCAGGTTGATGCGCATCGTCGGCTCCACCACCGTCACGGCGCGCTCGTCCGTCAGCATCACGCTCGCGCTCGTGTTGGTGCTGTCCGTGAAGTTGAGGCTGCTCGTGCCCATGAGCACCACGCCGTCGACCAGCGCAGGCATGTCTGGGACGTGCACCTCCGCGTACAGGTCGACGTAGTCTGCCATCGTCACCGCGTTGTCGAAGCGGTTCTCGCACGTGCCGAGGTCAAGCATCACCTGCGTGCCGTTGCTCAGCAGGCGAGGAACACCGCCGCTGTCTGGGCCGCCCGCGCAGTGCACGTTGGCGCCAACGTCGCTCCACATGCGCTGCACCACAATGTCCGTCGAGTTGAACACCATGTCCAGCACCAGCTCCGTCGTCACCTCAGGCACATACACGCGCGAGCGGTAGATGTACAGCTCGTCAATGGTCACGTGCGAGTCCGGGGTGGTGAGGGCATCGGAGGTGTTGTACAGCATCAGTGCCATGTTCGGCACCGCCACGTTCACCTCGGGCGAGGTGGTGTTCAGCGACATGGTGCGGCCGGCCTGCCCAAAGATGGACAGCAGAAACGTGTCAAACGTCACGCTGCACTCGGAGAACAGGCCAGCGGCGTTGGGGACCACGTCGTTCTGCACAACCGCATCAAAGGCCACATACGTCGTGCGCGTCGACAGCGCAAACTCAGACAACGCAAACACCACGCTCGTGCCGTCTGCGGAGATGTTTGCCGCTGCGCCGAGCGGGCCGCCGTCCGCAGCCACAATCCGCAGCATCGGGTGCGCGTGCGCGGTGAAGGTGAGGTCGTAGCACGACGCCGTCGACGCCTCCGTGTGCGTGAGCGTCAGCCCGTACTTCACCTTGTCGCCCGCATCGGTCGGGTCCAGGCTCAGCACGTCCATCGTCAGCTCAACCACGGGCTCCACCACCGTGTACGTCAGGTTGTTGGACGCAAGCGTACCGGTGAGCGTGACCAGATCCTTGGTGTACGTGACGGCCGCAGACTGCACCAGCGGCTGGCCCGCCTGCGCAACGGCGGTGTCCCGCAGCGACGCCACGGTTGTCACCACAATCTTGTCGTGGATGTCCGCCACGTTGTCGCGCTGGTTCTCGCACGTGCCAAAGTCAAGCACGAGCCCGTCGTGCACGCCGTCGCCGTTGTCGTCCACAAACTGCGGCGCCGGGCGCGGGATGGTGCAAACCACGCGCTCGCCCACCTGGTACTCAAAGTCCACCAGCCAGGTGGCGTTGTCCACCACAAAGTCCGTGGCGATGGTCACGTTCATGGTCAGCTCTGGCAGCGTCACCGTCACCGCAGAGGTGTACGTCTCGCTCACGGCAATGTCAAACAGCTCCGTGTTGTCGTCCGAGGACAGCAGCAGGTCAGAGCGGATAGCCAGGTCCGCCACCTCCACCGCGTCGCACACGTACGCGCGTGTGTCCTCGCGCCCAGGCAGCCCGTAGCTCGACGTCTCCAGGTGGCTGTCGTACGTCACGTTCTGCAGCGCAACCACGTTGATCTCGGTCGGCACCATGCTGTTCAGCACCACGGCCTCAAACGTCACCACCAGCACGGGGTCGGCCAGCGGCAGCGTCGCCAGCGTGTACGTGACGACCTTTGCGTCGGCAGAGATGTTTGGCTGCGCACCGTGCAAGCCGCCGTCGGCAGAGACAATGTCCATGTTCGGGTGCACCTCCGCCACCACCACGAGGTCGTACGCAGCAGCCGTCGACTCGCCGTTGTGCGCAACGGTGATGGTGTACGAGACCACGTCCCCGGCATCCACGGGCTCTGCGGCGGCAAACTCAATCAGCGTCGTCAGGTTGGGCTCCACCACGCGGTACTGCAGCTGCGTGGCGCTCGTGCGGTTGAGCGAGTACAGCGCCTGATCGCTGTAGTCGAGGTGCGCCGCCAGGGAGATGTTGCGCTGGTTCACCACCGTCGGCCGGTGGTCGATGGGCGCAAACACGGCGTACACAAACAGGCGGTCGGCGTCGTCCTCCACGTTGTCGTACGCGTTTACACACACGCCAAAGTCAAACGTCGCCGTGTCGTTGCTTGTAAACGCAAACGCGTCCGTGTCCGTCAGCTCCGGGGTGGTGGTGCAGTTGAGGCTCGCGCCCACCTCAAACCAGCTGTCCAGCACCACCCACGCGTCAAAGTCAGGCAGCGCGGGCTGCAGCGTCAGCACGGCGCGCGTCGTCGCCTCCGGCAGCGTCGCGTTCGCCCACACCAGCACGCTCTCGTGGATGGCCAGGTCCTTATCAAACGCCGTCAGCGGGAGGCTGCTGTTTACCGTCGTGTACACAATCACGGGCTCGTCAATGGTCAGCTCGGGCGCCATCGCCGTGTCCGTGTACACGCGGCCGGACTGGCCGTACATGCTGCCGCGGTGGCTGTCAAACACGTAGTCCGCGTCCGTGATCAGGTTGCGCTCGTCAGGCACCACCTTGTTCAGGATGACCGCCTGGAAGGTAAACACCAGCGACTCCGTGGGCAGGTACACCGCCGTGTCCCATGACACCGTCTTGGCGTCCGCGCTGATGTTCACGCTGGACGTGACAGTGCCCAGATCGGCGCTGATGATGGAGAGCGTGTCGTCCACCACCAGCGTTGTCGTCATATCGTAGATGCAGGACGAGGACACGTACGCGGGCGGGCTGCTGATCCACGGCATGTTCACCGTGTACGTCACCACGTCGCCCGCGTCCAGCGGGTACAGCTTGTCCACGTCCACCCACAGCTCAATGTCCGGCTCGGCAATCACCACAAACGACTCGGCCTCATATGTGATGGCGTCCGAGTCCACGTATGCCTTGACCGTGCGCGTCTGCCCGCCCTTGTTGAACTGCAGGCTGTTGTCCAACTGCGCCGTCACGCGGAGCACAAGCTGGTCCGACGCGTTGGCCACGTTGTCGTACAAGTTGCGAATCTCGCCAAAGCTGAAGTCAACTTCCACGGGTGACTTTGAGGCGACAATGTCCCCAGTCGCAAGCAGAGAGTCTGCAACGCTGCCACCAATCATCCGCACGCTGGCGTTGCGGTACGTGTACGACGGCGCAAAGGCCAGCGAGAACCGCACAGTGAGGTCCGTTGTCACCTCCGGCAGCGTCACAACAATCTCGTACTCCGACGTCTCGTGGATGTTGGTGTAGGGGTCTGGCGTCTCGGGCAGCGATGTCGCCACCAGCTGCGTCGTGATGTACACCCGGTCCATGGTCACGTCCACCGTGTTGTTCGCCGGCGCATACTCGGCGCCATCGGCGTGGATGCGCCCAGGCTGTGGGAACGACGAGCCCGTCGTGGTGTAGTTGGTCTCCACCTCGGATGTCACCACCTGCTCCGGCCGCACGTTCTGGTTCACGCGCACGGTGAACACGACGTCGAGCTCCTCCCCCAGCTCCAGCGACTCCAAAACAACCTGGAAATAGCTGGCGCTGACCTGGTTCACGCTGGGGGCAGCGAGGGACCCGCCATACGACAGCTGAATGCTGCTCGCATCAAGCGTATACTGCGGCACAATAAACACATGCGTCACCGTCTATCGTTGATAGAGGCACGTGCGGGCGTTTTTTTTTTTTGGGGGGGGGAGGGAGAGGGGGAGGGAGAGAGGTGGGTGAGGGGGCGGCGTGGTGGTGAGTCTGGCAGAAGAGAACAAACACACATTACACTGCACACGCAGACACACAGACACAGATACACACACAGACAAACACACAAACACGCACACACGTACACAAGCAAGTTTCAACTCTTCCCCGCCCGGGGCAATGCAACGCACCCTGTACGCGATGGCGGTGGAGGCGTCCGTGTGCTTCACGTTGATGAAAAAGTCAATGTTGTCGCCGGCGTCGTTGGTGGTCGTCGTGTTGACGCTCGTGGAGATTGTGTTCTCCAATTCGGGCTCTACCACAGTAAACCTCAGCGAGCGTGGCGAGGTCTTGGCGCCGTCCTTCGTGTCCGGGAAGGAAATGCGCGCATCCACGTCAAAGGTGGTGGCACGGTTCAGGCCGTCGTTCATCGAGTCATCTCGCAGCCGCACAGCAACTTGAATCTGTTGGCGATGGGTGCAGTGTGAGTGACAGACAATGTGTTGCAATCTGAACAGAAAACCACTCGCGCACGCACACACACACACACACACACACACACACACACACACACACACACACACACACACACACACACACATACTCAAGCACAGGTGCACAACGCAAACACACGCAAAACACACGCAAACAACCGAAGAAACCGCACGACGGAAACATCTGCAATTTTTTCTTCGACCCACCCCACTCCCCAACACAGACGCACACACACACACACACACACACACACACACACACACACACACACACACACACACACAGACACACACACACACACACATTCACACATGATGCAAGACAACCACAACGGTGCTTCTCTTTTCTCACGTCAATCTGGTCATCTGCCGTGCTGGAATCGCTGCACACGACGGTGATGGTGCCGAGGTCGGCAACAACCTGCTGGTTCACTTCGTCAAACAGCCAATTCACACCGTCAAACGCGTCGCTCTCCTGCACCGCCGAGTCTTGGATGTTGCTGCCAAGGTGCGCAAACGTGGCGTTGAGGAACTCCATATTGGCTGGAATGTCAATCTCAAGCACGGCGTGCGCGGTCACCTCAGGGAACGTGAAGCGCACTTGCAGCAGCGCCTCCTCCTCAATAGTCAGGTCCCGCCCGCTCGTCGTGGCGTCCGACGTCGTCATGACGGAGATGGCCGTCGAGCCGTCGTCAATCGTCGTCCGAATCGTCAGGTCATCCACCGTGTACCCACGCCCGTCGTACGGTGAGGACAGCGGTGACGAGTCGTACGACACAGACACCACGTTCTCAAGCACCTCCTGCGGCTCCACTACCTGCAGCAGCGTCGCCTTTGCTGCAATGTACAGCACATCCGTCTGGCGCAGGTGGGCTGCGCGCACAATCACATACCCGTCGTGGTACTCGTGTGTCGTGGGCTCGGTGGAGATGGCGGCACACGACGTCGACGTGACCGGCGACTGCGCATCGCCAGAGGTGGAGATGCAGCTGAAGAACGAGTCGTTGTGCTGCGACTGCCGCACGTCAAACTGGAACGTAACAACAACATCAAACGCATCCGATCGCGAACTGCTCGTGCTCGGCGACAGCCTGTACTCATACACCAGCTCATCGCACGCGTCGCCAGTGTACGACGACGACAGCACGTCCGTGGATGTCAGCAGCGGCTCCCGAATCAGCGGCGCCACCGACGGCGCAGACACGCGCGTATCATCATCGTACAGGCGGGCATAGATGGTGGGCCTGTCGCCCGCCTTCGCACTGCGCTCAGAGTCAACGTACAGTGAGAAGCGAACAACAATCTGCGCGGTCGCGTAGGCCGTCGTGCCCGGGTGCGTCACTTCGCCAAACTCAAACACAAACGCATCATACCCGGCGATGTAGGTCGCCGTCAGCGGCACGCTCGAGCCGTTGGTCGCAAGCGTGGGCTCGCCCACAATGAGGTCGCCGTCAATGCTCGTGACATTCGCGCTCAACCCCGTGTACGCCACGCTAGCCACCATGCATTCCAGCTTCAGATCGCTGGATCCTTCGTGCAGCGTCACCACCACCTCGTACACGGCGCTCTCGTCAACAGCCAGGTTGCTGCCGTCGCTCGGGGCGGACTCGGTCATGCTGTCGCTCACAAACGTCAGCGACACCGTCGATGCCGCAATGTTCACTGTCACCTCCTGCTGGGTGATTGAGAGCGGGCGGCCGACATACGAGCCCGTCGTCTCCGGCGACGTGTCGTAGTCCGCATCAGCCTGCACCGCATACGCGTCGTTGCGACGCACGTCCGTGTCAGACGTGAACTCAACGCTCCACGTCAGCTCCACCGTCTGCCCATTCCTCAGCACAGGCACGTAAGCTGACACCTCGTAGCCTGCCACAATCGCTGTCAGGGGATTGCTGCCGTCGCAAATGTCACACCCCACACTGCCTGGCGTGGGCACAATGCCGGCCGGGTGCGTTCCAGTGGCATTTACATCGTAGGCAGGGCCAGTGCCCTGGTTCACAAGCGTCAGCGTGTACACCCGCACGTCCCCGGAATCAACCACGCTGTTGCTGATGGCGAGCGATGGCGAGATGTTGGGCGTCACAATCGTAAACGTGAGCGTCTCTGACGCTGATGCAACACCACCGTCATACGTCACGTTTGCCGTCACAGTCAGCGTCGATGACGAGGTCAGCGCAGGCACGTCCGGCACACGGAACACAAAGTCAACCTCCAACACGTTCGACGCCGTCGGCACAAGCGAGTTGTCGGCCTTGTTCACCAGCGTCGTGGATGCAAATGACACCAGCGTGGTTTGGTCTTGCACAGATGTCAGCGTCACAGGGCTGTCGTTTGGCTGCACAATGTTGCCTGCACTCTCCACGCTCACGCTGGGATCAAGCAGTGTCGCATCGCTCGGCGCAAAGTCGTAAATCAACATGAAGCTGGCGTCGGTTGTCACCTCAGGCAAGTCGAGCAGCAGCCGCACACCCACTTCCTCGTGAATCGCAACGTTGAGCGAAGGCGTCTCATCAAAGGACGTGCGGTTGAAGGCCACACTCAGTGATGGCTGGAACACTGTCGACAACTGCTGTGTGCTGTTGTGAACCAAGGTCACAGTGTCATACTCCCGCGCGCTCGTGTACTGGCTGCTCGTGCGGAACGTCAGCTCCGTCATGCCGCTGTCAAAGATTTCATCGTTCGGGCGAATCTCCTGGTTCACGATCGCACGCCAGGTCATCTCAACCTGTGTCCCAAGCCCAATCTCAGCAACACCAAGCGTCATCACATTCCCGCTCTGGGACTGCACACTGCACACAGCAGGCACACAATCAAACGTCGTAAACGTCAGCAGCGCGTCAATCTCCTGCCGCACCTCAACATCATACCCAGGCGCAAGGCTGTCCCCAAGATGAGACACCACGCTCCTGAACGTGTATTCGTCAGCGGCATCAACAACGCTCGGCGCAACAACCACGCTCCGCGACACCGTCATGTTCGTCTCAACAACAGTCACATTCGTCGCGTCAGAGAACGTGTACCCGTCCGTCGTCAGCGTCGCGCTCAGCCCGTACACGTCAAACTCAGTCACGCTCACAACGTCAGCGGGAACAGCAACCGTCACATCAACCTCAACCCGACGTGCACTCGCCGGCGTGTTCGCTGTCACTGTCACCGTCCCAAAGTCAAACAGGTACGCGTTGCTACCAACCCCTGTCCCGCTGTCGTTCTCAGACACGCCCGTCATCGACACGGCTGACCCAACAAATGACACCGCATTGGCGTCGCCAATAAACCCGGGCTCATCCCATTCAACCAGCAGATCAACTTGGCTCTGGCCGCTCGGCAGCACAAACGCAAACCGATACGTCACAGCCTCATCTGGAGCCGTCTCAGGCGTCGTGTCTGCGTACCCCGTCGAGTCCAGCGAAAGCGCAGACAGCGTGCCCATCCGCGTCGTAATCGCAGCCGTCGTCGATGTCAACAGAGTAAGGCCGACCTGTGTATTGCCCGGGGTCCACGGGGCTGCTGTCGTAGTCGGTGTGCGTGGTGAAATCGTAGCTCTGGCTCGGGTGCACGCTCGCGTCGGGCGCAAGCGTCGCCGTAAACCCAACCGTCAGCACCTCCGCCTCGTCGAGCCGCGTCAGCGTCACCGTCAGCGTCCCCGCGCCGTTGTCCACGCTCACGCTGTACCGCGACTCGCACAGCGTCGCAGACCCAGCATCGTCGCACGTCACAGTCGCCCCGTTCACCTCAAGGCCCGCGTCATACGCAACCGTCGCAGACACGTCGTACGCAGCAGCGTCGCTCGCACCGCTCGTGTGCTGCAGCGTCAGCTCAAGCGTCACCTCGTCGCCCGCGTCAAGCTCCGTCGCCGTGCTCGTCGCACTCAGCGTGTGCTCAAGCTGCGGCTCCGCAACAACAAGCGTCACGTCGCTCGGAGCGTTCGTGCTGCCCCCGCTAAACGCAAGCCCGCACGCCACGCCCACGCTCGACCCACGGATGTCGACGCCATCGCCCACTGCAGACACAACGTAAAACTGCAGCTCAATCACAAGCTCCTGCGCGCCGTTCCCGGCAGCGTTCGTCACCGTCCCAAGGTCAAGCGTCGTCGTGTCGCCAGCCGTGCTCGACGGCCCGCTCTGCGTCGGCACAGCGCTCCCCGTCGAGTTCACAACAGCAACCACGTCCTGCACTGCCACCTCGGCCGGCGTCGTGATCGTGAACGTCAGCACAGCAGCCGTCGTCACCTCAGCAACGCTCACCGCTGCCTTCACGCCAACAAACTCCTGCGCAACAACCTCCGTCCCCTGGCTCAGCGACACAGACGTCCGCTGCAGGCTCAGCGCAACCGTCGGGTCAGGCACCGTCGCAAGCTCGCTGTTGTCCCCGACAGCCGTCACCGTCGAGATCGCAGGCGTCACCGCGCTCACCTCGTGCCCAACAGTGTAGTTCACCGTAGCGCCCCCGCTCTCGTTGATCGTGTCGCCGGGCTCAACCTCCGCAATCACAGCGGCCGTGTACTCAACCACAACGCTGCCGCCAACGTCAAGCCGGGCAACCACAGCCTCAAGCGTGTTCCCGTTCCCGAGCGTCGACGAGCACCCCGCGCCTCCGCTGCACGACACCGTCCCCGTGGAGATGGACAGCTCGCTGTCGACCACCTCCCGCAGCGACACCTCGAACGCCGGCGCCTTGCTCCCCGTCGCATGCGCAATCGTCACACGACGCACATACGAGTCGCCCGCATCAACCACACTCCCAGGGTTGCTCACAATCGTCCGCGTCACCTCAAGCACCGGCCGCGCAACCGTCAGCGTCACCCCCGTGTTGCTCAGCGCGTCCGCGCCAACAAACCCGCCAACGCTCAGCACAATCGTGCTCCCGTCAGCCGCGTCCACAGGCACGCTCACAGTCACCTCAACCGTCACAAAGTCGTCCAGCGCGCCAGCGCCGCTCCCGGGCATCGTCAGCTGTCCAAAGTCAAACAGCGCCCCCGCGTCGCTCCCGGCACCGGCGGACACAATCTTCGTCCCCGCAGCGCCCGTCACCGACCCGTCGTCCGGCGCACCGGCATCGGCCGTGATGCTCCCAGACACCGCAGACACCCGCGAGCTCTCGTACTCAAGCTCGCCGCCAGCCCACGTGATGCTCACGTTCACCTGGCTGCTGCCCTCAGGGAGCCCAATCACCGCGCTCAGCACAGCAGTCTCGCCCGCGCTCACCGTCGTCTCAGGCGTCGTGTCTGCGTACCCCGTCGAGTCCAGCGAAAGCGCAGACAGCGTGCCCATCCGCGTCGTAATCGCAGCCGTCGCCGGGGCGCTAACCGTGTACGTCCGCCCAGGGTACTGCGCGCCGTCCCGCGGGCTGCTGTCGTACACAGTCGACAGGCTCAGCCCGTAGCTCTGGCTCGGGTGCACGCTCGCGTCGGGCGCAAGCGTCGCCGTAAACCCAACCGTCAGCACCTCAGCCTCGTCGAGCCGCGTCAGCGTCACCGTCAGCGTCCCCGCGCCGTTGTCCACGCTCACGCTGTACCGCGACTCGCACAGCGTCGCAGACCCAGCATCGTCGCACGTCACAGTCGCCCCGTTCACCTCAAGGCCCGCGTCATACGCAACCGTCGCAGACACGTCGTACGCAGCAGCGTCGCTCGCACCGCTCGTGTGCTGCAGCGTCAGCTCAAGCGTCACCTCGTCGCCCGCGTCAAGCTCCGTCGCCGTGCTCGTCGCACTCAGCGTGTGCTCAAGCTGCGGCTCCGCAACAACAAGCGTCACGTCGCTCGGAGCGTTCGTGCTGCCCCCGCTAAACGCAAGCCCGCACGCCACGCCCACGCTCGACCCACGGATGTCGACGCCATCGCCCACTGCAGACACAACGTAAAACTGCAGCTCAATCACAAGCTCCTGCGCGCCGTTCCCGGCAGCGTTCGTCACCGTCCCAAGGTCAAGCGTCGTCGTGTCGCCAGCCGTGCTCGACGGCCCGCTCTGCGTCGGCACAGCGCTCCCCGTCGAGTTCACAACAGCAACCACGTCCTGCACTGCCACCTCGGCCGGCGTCGTGATCGTGAACGTCAGCACAGCAGCCGTCGTCACCTCAGCAACGCTCACCGCTGCCTTCACGCCAACAAACTCCTGCGCAACAACCTCCGTCCCCTGGCTCAGCGACACAGACGTCCGCTGCAGGCTCAGCGCAACCGTCGGGTCAGGCACCGTCGCAAGCTCGCTGTTGTCCCCGACAGCCGTCACCGTCGAGATCGCAGGCGTCACCGCGCTCACCTCGTGCCCAACAGTGTAGTCCACCGTAGCGCCCCCGCTCTCGTTGATCGTGTCGCCGGGCTCAACCTCCGCAATCACAGCGGCCGTGTACTCAACCACAACGCTGCCGCCAACGTCAAGCCGGGCAACCACAGCCTCAAGCGTGTTCCCGTTCCCGAGCGTCGACGAGCACCCCGCGCCTCCGCTGCACGACACCGTCCCCGTGGAGATGGACAGCTCGCTGTCGACCACCTCCCGCAGCGACACCTCGAACGCCGGCGCCTTGCTCCCCGTCGCATGCGCAATCGTCACACGACGCACATACGAGTCGCCCGCATCAACCACACTCCCAGGGTTGCTCACAATCGTCCGCGTCACCTCAAGCACCGGCCGCGCAACCGTCAGCGTCACCCCCGTGTTGCTCAGCGCGTCCGCGCCAACAAACCCGCCAACGCTCAGCACAATCGTGCTCCCGTCAGCCGCGTCCACAGGCACGCTCACAGTCACCTCAACCGTCACAAAGTCGTCCAGCGCGCCAGCGCCGCTCCCGGGCATCGTCAGCTGTCCAAAGTCAAACAGCACCCCCGCGTCGCTCCCGGCACCGGCGGACACAATCTTCGTCCCCGCAGCGCCCGTCACCGACCCGTCGTCCGGCGCACCGGCATCGGCCGTGATGCTCCCAGACACCGCAGACACCCGCGAGCTCTCGTACTCAAGCTCGCCGCCAGCCCACGTGATGCTCACGTTCACCTGGCTGCTGCCCTCAGGGAGCCCAATCACCGCGCTCAGCACAGCAGTCTCGCCCGCGCTCACCGTCGTCTCAGGCGTCGTGTCTGCGTACCCCGTCGAGTCCAGCGAAAGCGCAGACAGCGTGCCCATCCGCGTCGTAATCGCAGCCGTCGCCGGGGCGCTAACCGTGTACGTCCGCCCAGGGTACTGCGCGCCGTCCCGCGGGCTGCTGTCGTACACAGTCGACAGGCTCAGCCCGTAGCTCTGGCTCGGGTGCACGCTCGCGTCGGGCGCAAGCGTCGCCGTAAACCCAACCGTCAGCACCTCAGCCTCGTCGAGCCGCGTCAGCGTCACCGTCAGCGTCCCCGCGCCGTTGTCCACGCTCACGCTGTACCGCGACTCGCACAGCGTCGCAGACCCAGCATCGTCGCACGTCACAGTCGCCCCGTTCACCTCAAGGCCCGCGTCATACGCAACCGTCGCAGACACGTCGTACGCAGCAGCGTCGCTCGCACCGCTCGTGTGCTGCAGCGTCAGCTCAAGCGTCACCTCGTCGCCCGCGTCAAGCTCCGTCGCCGTGCTCGTCGCACTCAGCGTGTGCTCAAGCTGCGGCTCCGCAACCGTAAAGTCCACGCTTGCTGAAGAGGTGGTGACTTGCGCACTGTTCTGCTCGTACGTGGCCATCGCAGAGAATGTGACTGTTCCGGCGTCTGCTTGTGCGAGCACAAGGACTTGGTAGGAGGCGGTTATGGTGGCTTTGGTGCCGCTCGTCTCTACAGCAGAGCGGTCCGCGTTGAGCGCGGGACCAACCAGCGTTATGCTGGTGACGGTCGAGCCCTCGTTCGGGCTTGTGATGACAAGCGTGTCGTTTGTCACCTCTGAGCTGGATGTTGTGCTGACGGCTTTGCTCAGCACGAATGCATCCATGCCACCGCCTTGTGGAATGGTAAAGTCGATGGTTACCTTTGATTCAAACTCTGGCACAGTGAACACGGCCTCGACATCGATTACGCGATGCACGCCTGACCCGAAGGACGTGTCACTGCTGTTGAGCGTGAGTGTGATGTTGTCCACGCAGACCTCGCCGTTTCCGGCCGAAGATCCTGCATCGCACGCGCATGTTCTGTTTGTGTGCGGTTCGTGTGTGCGTGTGTGCGTGCGCGCGTGTGTGTGTGTGTGTGTGTGTGTGTGTGTGTGTGTGTGTGTGTGTGTGTGTGTGTGTGTGTGTGTGTGTGTGTGTGTGTGTGTGTGTGTGTTTGTGTGTTCGTGTATGTGTGTGTGCGTGTGCGGTTTGTGTGTGTGTGTGTATATATATTTGTGTGCGGTTTTTTTTGTGTGTGTGCGTGTGTGTGTGTGTGTGTGTGTGTGTGTGTGTGTGTGTGTGTGTGTGTGTGTGTGTGTGTGTGTGTGTGTGTGTGTGTGTGTGTGTGTGTGTGTGTGTGTGTGTGGAGTGAGACAGAGGCTTCAAGTGCGTAAAGACGCAATGGGAGAAGGTTGGGTTTGCATCACACTCAATCAAGCCATGCATGGTCTCCAGCACGTGCCATACCTGCCAAGGGGCGCCATGGCGTCATTGGTGCAGGTTGCAAACACAGAGCACGGGTCTGAGGTGCAGTCAGCATCTGCAAGTGTTCAGCGCAAGAGCAACCACGCAAAAGATAAAGCACAGGCGTGAGTGAACAAAGTGCAGCTGCTTTCAACGCATCGTGATGGTTGGTGTTGCGCTTCCAGCAGTGGCGCTGCTGGCGGTGCTACTGTTGTATTGTTTGGATCCAAGTTTCCCGCCAAACTGAACTCAAAATGCAGAATCAGCTGTGCGCATGTGCATGTGTGTGCGTGTGTGCGTGTGTGCGTGCTGAGACGAAACGTACTTGTAACGGTGATGACAGCAGCCAAGACCCATAACAGGGCCAGCATGGCACCGCGTTGGATGCGCATGCTTGTGTTGGGTGTTGCTCGTCCTCTGTGGTGACAGCGGACTCGCTGTCTCTTCGCTCTTTCTCTCCCTCACCCAGTCGATACCAGTGGTCTGGATGCTCCTCGTTCAGGAACTCCCCCAATTGTGTGTGAGGCTTTCCACGCCAGCGGTAAAACCACCCACGCGAACGTGTGAGAGCACCTGGTTCTTCTTCCTGTCTTGTGATATCCTCACTGATCTCAGCCAGCTCAAAGTGCTGGCGTGTGATCAACCTCTCGTCGCCTTTCCGCTCGCTCAGTTGCGTCTCTCTCTCGCTTTCTTCGGGCACCACAGCGTCTCTCCGTGGCTCGCTTCGCTGCTCGTTTCGGTTCTCTTTCCTGCTGCACGAGCGGACAAGGGGTTTGTGTGGGAAGGGGTGCGTCGTCGTCAGCCCCTCCTTGCTGTGTGTGTGCTTTTGATGTTCACGCCCTTTTTGCTTTCCCGTGCTGCGTTGCGCTCCTCTTTCTCTTCTTGGCACTTGCACGCCCACCTCAATCTACGATTCGCACAGAAGACAAGCCGAATTTGTGCTATCCACCGCAGCTCGCTGTGACGTCACGCAGAGAAAGCTGCAAGCGCGAAGCGCAGAATTTATTATTTTCGTCAAATGCGCAGGTGCGGTGCCGCCAACTTCAAACGGGGTGTTGTGGTCTGGGCAGATTGGTGTCAAGAGCTCTTGCTGTCTGTGCCTCACACAATACAATCAGAGCAGACAATCCACTCCAGCACTCCAGCGAACCATGGTAAGCAAGAAGGGAAGCGAGCTCAACAGCTCATGACTTCCTTCTGCACGTGGCATTAGCATGTGCATTGATACCTAAAGAAGAAGGCACTGCACAACAAGACAACACAGCACACAAAATGACAAACTGCCTGCAGTAGCAGTGCCAGGTCTGGGAATGTCAAAAAAGAAAAGAACACTATGTAGAACAAGAGACTACGAGAAATAAACACAAGCACAAGACATAGAGACATGATGCTATGATGAGTCTGTTGGGCCTGACCACACAGCACTCCATTTTGGCTGTTTGCTTTACATACTTGTTACCTTACTGTTTGTCTCTGAGGAGAGGAATCGTTGCATCGGAGCTGAGTTTCACTTCCACTCGAACATGTTTCCTTTTTCATGTTGACTGCAGCGGTTCTCCGTGCATTTGGACTTTTGGATGTTGTGTTCCGAGCCTCAACCATCACTTCATTTCACCTCAAAAAAAAAAAAAAAAACTTCGCCACTCTTGTTGCTCTCATTTCACAACACACGTAGAAGCATGTGATGTTATTTTTCACTCGCAATGGACATGGCAGAGAAGTGTACATCGACGCATCAATTGAAGCTTTGAGACACGCGCGCGAATTGGTACGTACAAAAAGGAAGAAGAGGGTCTGTAACGGGTGCTGCGCTGTGACAGCGGGGCAAGGGGGGGGGGCGAATGAACAAGATGGCGAGGGGTGGGGGCAGTTAGCAAGAATAGAGGGGGCGTCTACATGAATGACCTAATGACGATAAAATGCAGGGGGGAGGGGCGTGGTTAGGTACGGTAGTTTGGAACCACAGATTGTGTGTGTTGCACAACTCGCGCAAGCAGCAGCCACTCGCGGCCTGCGATACCCGGAGGAATACAACAAGCAAAAACGCAGCGATGTTCACACACACTGTGCGTTGTTGAGTGCAAGAAAAGAGGAACAAGATGGTGTGTGTACGGCATGAGAGATTGTGCGTGCGCGAGTGAGTGCAAGAGAGACACACACACGCACATACACACATAGAAAGAGACAGCGACAAAGAGTGAGTGAGTGCGTACGTGACAACCACACGGCGTCACAGCTTGATGGAATGCGCAGATGCGCGTGATCTCCCGGAGCGCACACGTGTTTTGGGCGGCTGGCCCTTTGGCGGCGCAGGCTGCACCACAGGCGAGTTCTTGAACATGAGGTTGAACGTGTGCTCGCGGTTCACCACCTCCAGGTTCAGGCGCTCGTTCTCAGCAGCAATCACTCTGCAATCGACACGTTGGATGAGAAGGAGGGAGAGAGCAAAATGAGAAGGGGGGGGGGAGGTTAAGTATGCGGTTGGAGCCGCGGTGCTTGGTGTGAGCGAGCAATGGAATGAGGGACAGTGGGGGAGAGGAAGGGGTCTTCTGAGCAAGCATGGCTTTTCGACGGGCTAAATAGCAGCCACACACGCACACGCACACAGCCACACAGCCACACACACAGCCACACAGGCACACACACACACACACACACATACACGGCGCGCGCACACACACACACACACACACACACACAGGGGGCACACACACACACACACAGGCGCACACACACACACACACATGAACACACACACACGCACACACACACACACACATACACATACACACAGGCACACACACACACACACGAACACACACACACACACACACACGCACATGAACACACACGAACACACACGCACGCACGTGGCCACTGACTTGAGCTTCTGCTGGGTGTCAGCGAGCTGTGTTTCGAGAAGTTGTATTCTGTCGACGTCATCTGGACGGGAGGGCCGCGTTTCGTACTCCTCCTGCAGTTTCCGCAGGGCGTTCTCTGTCGCCACAATCCGCTGGCGCATCTCCTCCTGCGCACGTGGTGGTGTGTGCACGTACAGGTGGCGTGAGTGCATGAGAGCGTGAGTGCATGAGAGCATGCGTGAGTCAATGTGTGTGTGCATGAGAGCATGGGTTAGTCAATGTGTGTGTGTGTGTGTGTGATTGATTGAACGTGACAGAGCAAACCGGTCTGCAGTGAGCACGTGTCTGAAGAAGGACGCAGTCACTCGGGCTCTCAACGCCGTGCGGTCCACAGACAGACAGACAGACAGATATGCACATGCATGTATGCACGATGCACACCTCAAAAGCCAATCCCACACCACACGCACCTGGATCTTGGTAGACTGTTGTCCCGCCCGCGCAAACTGCAGACGGTATTTCTCCACAACATCGCGCAGCTCAGCTCTGTTGAGAGAGAGTGCGTGCGTGTGCGTGCGTGTGCGAGCGTGTGTGTGTGACAGAGTGAGAGTGAGTGAGAGAAAAAATAAAAGAGAGAAAGTGAATGGAGAGGGAAAGAAAGGGTGCAGGAGTAAGGGATGTAGAGGGAGTGTGTGTGTGTGTGCGGTTGTGCTGGTGTGTGGATGTGTTTGCTGCTGAGATGCTGGTGTATGGATGTGTTTGCTGCTGAGATGCTGGTGTATGGATGTGTTTGCTGCTGAGATGCTGGGGTAGGGATGTGTTTGCTGCTGAGATGCTGGGGTAGGCATGGGATGATAGGCAAGGAGAGGAGTTGCACGGGGAGTGTAATGTTGACATGATGCAGACACATGCACGGTAACGCATGTACACTGCAGTAAAGGGCATTCATAGAACATCATACACACTCAACCACAGGCATGTATCCACATACACACACATACACAGCAACAGCATGTGGACGCACTCGTGCTGTCGTTTCAAATCGGTTTGATGCTGATTTAACGTCTCGTTGCTCTCACGGCGAATGTCAAACAGCTCCTGCACCTTCTCCTCCAACGCTGTAACACATGTGCAGTAACACGCATACACACACATCACATCACACCACATCACATCACACCACATCACATCACATGTGTGCATCACCATGGTGAGTTTGACGCCAAAATGAAGCAAACAATCGATCGGAGAAAGCCTGCACGGTTGTGTGTAAACCGTAGCGTCGAATCCCAATGCAGCTCTCAGCACACAACTTACACGCACACACACACACATCACACACACACACACACACACACACACACACATTACACACATTACACACACACGCGTGTTCACGTGCACGTGATTGGTCACCTGCTTTCGTCTGTGCCAGGTCCTGTTTCGTCGTCTCCAGCTCGCGTGCGAGCGATTCTGAACCGAAACGATGGATTGAAGGGGGGGGGGGGAGGAGCATGAAAGCCATGAGCTGAATACCTGCACACGCGCGCACTACTCATCCTAATGCCCGCACATACGTACACACACACACACACATCCCATACACACTTGCGCACATACGTACATATCCATACACATTCGCGCACATCCGCACACGCACAGGCACAACCCAGCGATATCTCATACAATCACACACACACATCTCATACAACTACACACATGATCACACACACACATACACACACACACACACACAAATCAACGTGTGCGCACAGACCACGGACCTCGCGAAGTTTGCTCCTTATCCAGGGCCGCCTTTGTCTTGTGAAGCGTGGCAGTGAGCGCGCCTGCAAGCAAGGGAGAGGGAAGAACGAGACGTGTGTGTGTGTGTGTGTGAAAATTACGGGCGCGGGTTGCAGGAGGGAGGAGTGAAGCAACGATCCGCATGAGAAATGCATGTGTGTGTGTATGTGTGTGTGTATGTGTGTGTGTGTGTGTGTGTGCGTGAATTGTTTGTGGTCACGTGCGCGACGTACTTTGCTCGGAGCTTGCGAGGTCTAGCTCTTGTTCGTATTCTTTGCGCACTTTGGAAATCTCTCGCTCATGCCTGGGAATACGTGAAAGCGGTGAGACCACAACACAGACACACATGCACACACACACACACAGTTCACAACGCAAACGCACAAAGTGAGATTGAGCACAGCTACAGAGCGCCAGGAACAGCCGAGCCTGGATAGTGACGTTCGTGACACCACAACACATGTCCGCATGCAACCCCACACATGCAAACACAAACACATACATGCACTACCACGCACACACACACACACACACACACACACACACACACACACACACAAATGTGTCCAAAATTTCATCGTTCAGTTTGATGCTTGCAAGCATACCCAACCTGATATTCTGAGCCTCGAGCTGCCTTGCGACGTCGCGCGTGTGTTTGTCTTCCAGGCGCCGGATTGCGTCAGACATCTGCTGCTCGTGTTTTTCGCGCGCGTGCTCAACGGCACGTCGCACTTCGTCAGCAGCACCTGAGGAAGGCAGATTCAAGGCACAAGGGCGGTCGTGGTCGTGGTGATGCAGTGTGTGTGAGTGAGTGTGTGTGTGTGTTTGTGTCTATGAGGATCATAAACCTGTACGTGTGTACATGCGAGTCACTGCTGTGCACCTTGGGTCAATTTATCGCTGAGCGCCTGTTGGTCTTTCTGCATCGCTTCCATTGCGCGCGTGTGTTCAGCACGGACGTCACGCAGCTGCAATTCAATTTGCGCCCAGCAGGCGTGAGTGAGTGAGTGTGTGTGTGTGTGTGTGTGTGAGTGTGTGTGTGTGTGAGTGTGTGTGTGTGTGTGTGTGCATTCGTTACAGCGACATGGGTCTTTCGAAACAATGTTTCCAAGTATCCCCCGCAACCGCCTAAGCAAACCACCACACACACACACACCCTCAACATGCAACCCCAAAGATTCTCGCACAACACAAGCAGCCCCTCCTTCCCCCACTTGCTGCTCTCTGTCTCACTTCCTGCTGGTGGAGAGTGGCGAGGCGGTCGTGCTCGTCTTTGATGGCCTGGTCGCGTTGGCGCGTCAGTGCAGCGACTGTGGACATCGGGGCATCGGTGGTGATGGGGGGGGGGCGTGAGATGGATGGTGGTGTGAGGGGTGAAGAGAGGTGAGACGTTGGGCATGGTTGGAGGTGCTTGGAGACTGTACGCGCAACCACGCACGCACACTACGCACACTACGCAGACAGCAGACACATGCATGCGCATGCACACATGCATGTTCATGTAGGCACCTGCTTCGTCGTGCTTCTGCGTGAGCTGCTCAACCTTCAACGCGTGGTCCTCTCGCAGTTTCGACAGCTGAAGCAGAAACACATTCGGTGGCAGGGAATGGTAGTGTCACCCACGTCAGTACGTGCGAACGTGTATGTGTATGCATATGTGTATGCATATGTGTATGTGTATGTGTATGCATATGTGTATGTGTATGTGTATGTGTATGCATATGCATGGCTGAGTTCTGGTGGAGTGATGACAACAGCTGTGACAGCTCATTGCGACGCGCGACGTATGCATGTTGAGATGCGTGTGTTCGCAACCATTTGCACACACACACACACACACACACACACACACACACACACACACACACACACACACACACACACACACACACACACACACACACACACACACCCAACAGCCACCACCACCACCATCATCACAACAGCCACCACCACCACCATCATCATTATGACAGCATCGCACCATTTCCTGGAGGGATGACGATTCCTTTGCTCCGCTCGATCGCGCCAGCTCCAATTCCTGCATCAGCGTCTCAATTTGGGCCTGAACACACACACACACACACGCGCGCGCACGCGCACACACACATACGCACACACACATACGCAAGTAAGGTCGTACCAATGTAGATTGTGAGCCAACGAAAGAAAGCAACGGGCACAAGCAAGCACACCCACACAATGCAAAGAGCACGCACACACATACACACACATACACGACAGAACACACACACACACACAACCCAACGCATAGCTCACACACACACACACACAACACACACACGCACACAACACACACACACACACACAACTCTCTCACTCACTCACACACACACATGACACCACAACACCTTAAGCTCGGCCATCTTGCGCTCAAAGTCTGCGCGTGTGTGTTCGACGGCAACGGCGTGCTGCTTTTCTTTCTCGCTCAGCGCCGCGCGCAGCTGAGGAGGGAGAGGGAGAGGGAGAGAGAGAGAGAGAGAGAGAGAGAGAGAGAGAGAGAGGGGGAAAGAGAGATATTGTGTGCGTGTACGTGAGGAAACAGAAGGGAGAGAAGACATGATGGATGATGAGGATGCGAAGACGAGTATGATATGCACACATGCACAACACGCACACACGCACAACACGCACACAAAACCACGCACACAATAGCACCTCCTTTGCTTTGACTTCCTCGAGGTTCTTCAAGTCCTTCTGTGCGGCGGATTTGGCGTTTTGAATCGCCTCTTGAAGCTCCTTCTCATGGTCCTCCTTCAAGGCAGCGATGCTGTCCTCCGCCTCCTTCATCTTCTCCTCCAATCGGTCGTGCTTCGCCTCCGTTCGCTGAAGTTTCGCTGTACGAGCGCAAGTGACGTGATACATCCGTCAGTGGTGGCGGTGGTAGTGGTCGTGCGCATGTACAAGACGTGCGTGAATGACACTTGTACGTGCGTGTGTGTATGTGTGTGTGTGTGGTTGTGTGTGTGTGTGTGGTTGTGTGTGTGTGTGTGGTTGTGTGTGTGTGTGTGTGTGTGTGTGTGTGGAGCGACACGAAACACTCCTGCTGAACATCCAAGTTCACGCACATGCAATCCATCCAAACACGTCCATCACATCACCACATCATCTCAATCCCCAACCCCTCCTTCCCCCCCCAAAACAAACATCCCTTGCATCATGCCTGAACAACTGACCCGTGGTGGCCTTTAGTTCCTCCTTCACCGCCTCCATTGCGGCCAAGCGGTCCAGTGCATCCTGCCGTGCGCTCGCTTCTCCCTCCGCCGTCTCCTCCGCCGCTTTCATGCGCGCGTGCGTGTCCTCGAGTTGCTGCGACGCCTTTGACAGCTGTTCCCGCAAGCTCTGCTCGCTCTGATGTAATGCACACATGCGCAATGCGCGGGGGGTGTGTGTGTGCGTTAGCGTCGTGTGTGAGCGTGTGTGTGTGTATGTGTGTGTGTGTGTGTGTGTGTGTTAGTGCCGTGTGTGAGTGCGTGTGTCATGTCAACATGTGCAGGTGAGCGTGTCAAAATGTGTACTTGCGTGAATGTGTCGACACGATTTCACGTCACCGCAGATGAGCACATCACATACACAAACACACATCGATGCCACACCTGCATTGCACGGGCTGACACGTCGCTCAATTTCGTGTTCAAGCGCTGCAATTCCTGCGCGTGTGATGCGGACATCTCCTCCAATTCACTCTTCAAATCCTTCACTTCTTGGGCATGTTTCTGCAGGCGCAATGAAACACGATGTGTGTGAGCGTGTGTGTGTGTGTGTGTGTGTGTGTGTGTGTGTGTGTGTGTGTGTGTGTGTGTGTGTGTGTGTGTGTGTGTGTGTGTGTGTGTGTGTGTGTGTGTGTGTGTGTGGCTGGTGGCATCCAAACGTCCAAGGGGCGAATCAGGCAACCTTTCTCACGAGCACTGTCTTCATCAACATATCAGACAATCGCACTCGAACACATATCCACACGCATACCCCCTACCACACACACACACACACACACACACACACACACACACACACACACACATACACAAGCACACGCACACATACACTCTTTGTCTCGCATGTACTACTACCACACTACCACACTACCACACTACCACACGACCACATGCTCGCCCGTATCCAGTTGTGTCACCTTCTTCATCTGTTGCGTCTTCTGCGAGAATTCCTTCTCCAGCGTCTCCGCCCGCTCCCGCTGTCGTTGTATCTCAGCCTGAGGCGCCAACACATCGACAGGACAAACAGTGCAATGCAGACATGGGGTTGCACCCACACGTGAACACATGTGAGCAGTGGCATGTGACGAGTGCATTTCTGCATACATAAGCAGCGCGCACACACACACACACACACACACACACACACACACACACACACACACACACACACACACACACACACACACACACACACACACACAGACACCCCTTTCAAAGCAACCGGCCAGAAGTAAGCCCCCTCCCCACAAAGGGATGTGTGTGTGTGTGTGCGACCTCGAGTGCGGCGACGCGCTCCCTGTGCTGTGTGGCGACAGACTCCTCCGTCGTCGCTTTGGACTGCAGCGATTTGATCAGCGACTGCAGCCGAAGCACCTCCCCTGGTGATGTGATGGTGTGGTGTGATGAGATGGGGTGTGCTCAAGGCCATAACGCATCTCAGCCTGAAGCACACACTAAGACACACAGACAAACAGAGCACATGCACACAAACACAGACACACACACACATACACAGAAACACACAAAACACAAAACACACACACACACACACAGATACACACACACACACACCCACACACACACAAAACACAAAACACAAAACACACACATGTGCATACATGCTTCAACGCATGCATGCCTCACCAGCGCTGGCTTCGAGGGACGCCTCCTGTGTTTTGCTGTACTCATCCAAGTCTTGGATGACCTTCTGTTGTGCTTGAAGCTCCTCCTTCACCTTGTCCAGGTGTCGCCTGCGTTCCTCCATCTGTTTCCGCAACTCCTGCGCCTCGCTGCCAAGTTCGCTCTTCTCCTTCGCCAGCGCGTCGATGTACGTCTGCTTTTCCTGCACTTTCTTCCTCTCGGCCTCCAGCTCCGCCCGTGCGTCCGTCAGGGCCTTGTCGGCATCGCCCGTGCTTGCAAGCATTTGCTGCGCGTCGTCGACCTTCCCCTTTAGCACCTGTATTTCGTTCTTCAGCACGGCCTCTGTGTTCTTCGCGTCGCTGGCAGCCTCCTCCAGCTTCCGCCGCCACTCTGCCGCCTGCTGCTCCAGCGCTTCCCGGCGCTGTGACTCCATCTTCGCCGTGTGCTGCGCGTGCTCGTCCCGCGTGCGCGCAAGCTCGCCCTCCACCTCCTGTATTCTCTGCTGCAGGTCTGCCTCTCGCGCACGAGCGCGCGCGTGCAGCGATTCGACGGCCTTGGTCTGCTGCGCCTTGATGCGCTCCTCAAGCTCTGCTCGCTCCTTCTCCAGCTGCACAATCTGCTGCTGGTGTCGCGCCTTCTTCGCGCGCACGTCCTGTGTGAGCGTGAGCAGCTGCTGCTTCACGGCCAGCACCTGCTCCTGCCTGTCCTCCTCCCGCTTCGCCAGCGCCTCGCGCTCCTCCGCAATGGCCTGCACCTGCTGCTCCACCTGCTCGCGCACCGCTGCCAGCGCATCCTCGTGCTGCTTCTGGATGCTGGCGATGGCCTCCTCGTGGTCGGTCTTTGGGATGGATGCGTGCAGCTCCTGCTGCAGGTGGTCAATGCGCTGCCGGCCATCGCCTATGATCTCCTCGATTTCGTCCTCATACTGGTTCACCAGATCGCGCTTCTCCTTCTCAAAGTCCTCCAGCCGCGTGTTGAGGGCGATGATCACCTTGGTCAGTTGCGCGATCTTCTTTGTCATCCGCTCATCGTGCGCGGTTGACATCTCGCGCGAGTGTAAGTCTACGTGCGTGCAATGCGCGTGATGTGCGTCAAATGTGGAGTGCACCGAAAGCTCAAGAGGTGGACGTACGTCTAAATGTGTGTATGTATGTGTGTGTATGTATGTGTATGTGTGTGCGTGTGTGTGTGTGTGTGTGTGTGTGTGTGTATGTGTATGTATATGTGTGCTGGGGTGGGTGGTGGAATGAGCGCGGTCCGTCAGGTGTGCTGCTGCTGCTGTTGTCTTCGTTGGTTGAATTTGTGTTCGTTTCCAACGATTTGGGACGTGCTGAAAATTCGCAACAGTACCGCAAATCGCCAAAACTTGACCTGGGAAGTGTCTTCTTTGTGTGTGTGACGATGAATGATTTATTTCGGGTAGCGTCGCACACACACACACACACACACACACACACACACACACACACACACACACACACACACACACACACACACACACACACCACACACCACACACACACACACGCGCGCGCGCAACAAAGCAGAGAAAAAAACCACTGCAATTAAAAGTTTGTCAATTCCAATGTCACTTGAACGCACCAGCTACTTGCGCGCGCGCACACACACACACTCTCTCTTTTCCACGCTCTCATTCATCCCATCATACACACGCACACTCATCCCACACACCACAGCTCACGCCTCGCTGTCATTGGTGACACACGTTGGAATGAGGTAGAACGGGATGCTGTCACGCAGCTGGAGCTTGACGCGCGAGTACGTGCTGACCAGATGCGCCATATCCGTGAAGATTTCCCGTTCCGTCGGGTTGGCGCGCAGCGCAATGCCGCCCTGGGGCAGCTGCCGCACGCGAATGTGACGAATGTTGCCGTCGACAAGCACGCTCAGCGTCAGCTCGCCGCGGTTTGACTTGGACTCGCGGACAATGAACCGTCCCGTCTGCATCTCGTTGTGCAGAATGTTCTCCACAGCCTGACACGGTGTATGAGAGGCAGCAAACACGTGAGTTGGTTGTTGAGGTGTGTGGGCTTGTACGTGTATGTGTGTTTGTGCTTGTGTATGTATGTGTATGCCTGTTTGATTGTTTGTTTGGCTGCATGCTTGCTTGTATGTGTTCGCGCATGTGTGTGTGTTCGCACAACTGTGTGCTTGGCCACAGGCTTTGCTGGAACACAAAACCGTGCAGCATTCGCAGCATCAGAGACCATACAACAACGCAACAAAGCACGTATCCCCTACCTCTCTGTCGAGGTTTGGCCTGAACCAGCTCTGCCCAGCAAGTCCAGACGGCTGCAGAGACAGCAACAGCGGTCGTAGTGGTGGTGGTGGTGGTTGGGGGCGGGTCGGAGGGAAGACGTGAGCACACAAAACAAGGAGTGGGAACGCTGGTGGTGATGACGAAGATGGTAATGGGAGCAACACGACAATAGAATACGCAAAGGGCACACATAACAGTGTGTGTGCATTGCATTAATCGGTGATCATGGGATTGTGCGGGTGTGGCAATGCAGACTCACGTGTGGCTTCTTCGGAACGTGGATGTGAAAGCGCGCTGTGCGATGGCGAGTGGATAGAAAAGCAGACAACGCAGACAGCGTAGGAGAGGAAACAAGAACAGCGAAGCGGAGGGATAAGTTGTGAGTCAATGTGAGTCGGCAACAACAACAACAACAACAACAACAACAACAACAACAACAACAACAACAACTGAACAACAACAACAACAACAACAACAACAACTTGAACAACAACAACAACAACAACAACAACAACTTGAACAACAACAACAACAACAACAACAACAACAACAACAACAACAACAACAACAACAACAACAACAACAACAACAACTTGAACAACAACAACAACAACAACAACAACAACAACAACAACAACAACAACAACAACAACAACAACAACAACAACAACAACAATGACAGCACCACCTTCACCACCACCACTCAAACTCACGTGGTGGCGCAGGTGCAATCTCAACATCGCTGTCATCAAACGCAGAATCGTCCTTCTTCAACGTCACGTGGACCCCATTTCCATTCACACGACGACGACCACCGCCATCACCACCGTCACCACCATCACTGCTTTCATCACTACCGCCATCACCACCGCTCGTGCCCATGGCTCGATTCAGTGCTGCGCTTTTGTGCTGGAGCCGTGTTCGGAGCTCGGATGTCAGCGGCGATGCAGTGCCGACACCGCCGCCACCGCCACTGTGCTTGTGATGATGGTTGTGGTGGGGATGATGCTGCACGGCGCCTTCCATGTCATCGCGCGTGTTTGACAGCGGCAATCGGCCCCACTCGCCGCTGCTGTTGCTGTTGTTGCTGCTGCTGCAGCTGCTGTTCACGCTGGCATCGCTCCCTCGCGTCGGCACACCGTCCAACACAATACCACCACCACCGCCGCCGCCGCCGCCGCCATCGCTGCTGCTGTGTGCAGACAGCAATTCTGCATCCGTGCGGCCAAAGGTGAACTTCTGTCGCGCCTGCTGGTGCTGGTGTTGTTGGTGTTGATGGTGGTGCTGTTGGTGCTGATGCTGCTGTTGGTGTTGATGTTGGTAACCATGCTCATGATGAACGGCTGGCTTGGGCTTGGGCTTGGGCTTGAGTTTGGGCTTGGCGTGCGCGTGCGCGTGCGTGTGTGCGTGTGGTTCAGATGCCCGTGTTGCTGCCGAGGACGACACATCCCAAACAGACGGCGCGCACACTTCGTGGATGGATGCGTGGGTGTCTTCATCACCACCTCCGTCGTCATTGCCATCGCGCCGGTGCTGGTGGTGCGGGCTTGGCTGTGGCTGGTGCGGTGGCTGCATGGGCTGCAGTTGCCCCTCAAGTTTGCTCGCAATGGCTGGTTTCGCCAATCGACCAACACCTGCTGTTGGGGCGGGCGGTGGCGGCGCACGCGCAGCCGTCACATCATCGCCATCATCGCCACCGCTGTCATCGTGACTGTCGTGGTGTGTCAACATGGCTGTTCGCTGCGCGACCAATCCACTTCCACTCCCATGTGCGCTTCCTGGCTCCTCGTGGTGTTCCGTGCCGCCGTTGCCTGCAGGCAATGTCTTCCTCTGCTTGCGTGTGTTGCCCAGGCGACGCCCCCTGTGCGCCGTCTTCGTCGCACCTGCCGGTTTCTTCGCAATGGGCGGTTTGGACACAGCAGCAGTGGCGGTGGCGGTGGAGGTGTGACTGTCACCAGGGTGGCTGTGCTGTTGATGCGTTGGGTGCTGCGTGACATCCACAGTGCTGCCCGTGCTGCTGCTGTTCATGCTGCTGCCAGCACCACTCACCACCTCCTGCTGGTGCTGGTGCTGGTGGTGTCCTGGCTGCACGGTTTGGTCTGCAAACGTCTCGAGATCGCGCCAGTGGTCCTCCGTCTGCTGCGCCAAGCGAAATACTTCATCGCTCGGCATGTTCGACTGCCGAAACACGGCAGAGTTCATGTACTCGTCTTCGCCATGCTGCTGCTGCTGCTGTTGTTGGTCATGTTGGTGTTGGTGTTGGTGCTGCTCATGTTGCTGCTGCTCATGTTGTTGCTCATGTTGCTGTTCTTCGTGCACGTGCTCCCAGTGCTCGCGGGCCTTGCGTTCCTCCTCCTCTGGCGCGTTCGTGTACCAGTTTGCATCACAGTTCCCGTACACATCGTCTGGTGTCACCGCAGAGCCGCCGACATCGGCTTCGAGTTGCATTACATTGCGTTGCGTTGTGTTGCGTTGTGATTTGTGTTGGGGGCACATCATGACAAACGTGAGGAGGGGGATGTGAGTAAGCGAGAGATGGCACGTGGAGAATTGTGCGTGATGACAGCACATGCTAGTACTGCGCACACACACTAAACCACACACAACACTAACAAAAACACAACCACACATACACACACACAACCACAACCACAACGACAAGTCTCGTTCCCATTTTTGAATACGCACCAGCAGGCACGTTGACTGTGGTCTCCTCGTCACTGTCATCAAAGTCATCATCGCTGTCATCAAAGTCATCATCATCGTCGTCGTCGTCATCATCCCAGTCATCATCGTCATCGGAGAACGTATCCACTTGTCCACTGCTGCCGTCACCGTCACTGCCGTCGACAGACACGGACGGGAACACGCTTCCGTTGGCGCTCACGCCGCCATGGCCAAGATGGTTACGCAAGGTGTCGTGATGTTGCGTGCCGCTCACATCGTCTGCAGTTGGCGACGCGCGCGTGTCTGTGCCTGTGCTGTTTGCATCCTCGTGTGCACGCCTGCCTGCAGGCAACGGTGGCTGGCTGAAACGCCGCTGCGCATTGGGGCTGTTGCGTTTCATAATGACGTTTGTGAACCTGCGCAGCTTCTTTCCCACCGCCTTTTTCGCGTGCATGACGTGGGACGCGAGCGGGGAGTTGGGCGCTGACGGGCCCGTTGACGCCGACGACGTGGAATCCAACCGCCCTTGCATCTGATGGTGGTGGTGGTGGTGGTGGTGGTGGTGGTAGGGAGTAATGATGGTGGTGACGATGGGTATGCGTTGGTGTGCGCGTGTGTGCGGGAGAGAAGAAGACGTGAGTCCACACAGACATACGGGTGTACACAAGCGCATGAACACATGCACACAAGTACATACAAAGATGCACACATGCTCACCGTGAACATACACGCACACACATGCACACAAACACACACACACACAAGCCCGCATGTACATGCAGGCGCGCATGTCTCACCATCCATCAATCTTTAAACTCTCTCCTCACCCTCCCCCCCCCGCCAACTTCAACGCACCATGAGTTGCGACTTGCGATTCTCTCGCAAAAGCTTCTGCTGCTGTTTCATCAGCCGCCCCTTTGCCTTCACAAGCGCCCTGCGCAACACACACGCACACACACGCACGCACGCATATGTGTACAGCAAGACAACGTGAGTGGAAGCAAAGGAGAGCGATTGTGACACGCACGAACATGCGTGCGCGCATGCTCGGAAAGGTGAGTATGAATGCATGTGTTTGTGTGTGTATGCATGTGCTTGGATGCACAATTTGCGTGCATTTGTGTGCATTTGCGTGCATGCGTACTTTCTGCGCTCTGCGCTCTGATATCCAATCTTGGCCAGCTGGTCTGCGGTAGCATCCTGGTTAGCAATGTAGTGCAAGGCAGTGCAAGGCAAGGTGTGCCGGAGTCGATGAGAGTCGAGCAACTGTTATGGGAGCATGCGCACGCATGTCCAACAGCAGCCGCGAAATTGTGCACAGACGAACACTTCCAGAAGAACACACATCAACACACATACATGCGCACACATGCGCACGCAGACAGACGGACATGTTTGGGTACATGATAATGCACGCTCACATACATCTGCATGCAGACACACACACACACACACACATCTGCATGCAGACAGACATGCTCACCGCCAGCTGGTGTCCTGCGATTTTGAAGTTGCGAAAGCTGCTCTCAAAGTCGGAAAAGCCGTTCTACAAAAAGATTGAGAGAGGGGACAAAGCAAGGGTAAGTGCTGACGTGTTGTGCTTGGCGAGGGTGGCGGAGACCGTGTGTCCTTACAGCACAAATACAACCCGACGACACACACACACACACACATGACCGCACAGTTGAAACACACACGCACACATGACCGCACGGGTGGACACACACACACACACACATACACACAAACACACACATACACACAAACACACACACACACACAGTTCAATACACATAAACCCAACAACAGACGCGTACACCCCACACAGAGCACACACACACACACACACGCACCTGGTGAAGCCAGGCGACGACTTCTTCGCATGACCAGTCTGCTAGCGCGTGCACCGGTGGCGGTGCCTCCATGAACGCGCTCATCGACATGCCTGGGCGGTGTCAACACGGAGATCACCTTTGGTTCCGCTTGGCGGGCTGCTTGGTTTCGCTGGGCTGGTGCGTGGAATGAAGTGTGAGGTTGCTCGCCTGCTTGCTTTTTCTGCTTGCTTCTCGTGTGTTCGTGTTGAGTGAAGTGGCAGGGTCCGATCGGCTGATGGAGAAGAGAGACGGGGCCAGCCAATGTCTGCTTCTGCTGTGGTGCGTCTGAAGGAGTTGTGGCGGGAAGTTGCATACGGCACGGCACGCACAGGTGTGCAGCGTGTGGTGTGAGCGCGAGCTGACGACAGGCTGGGAGTGAGAGCACAACAGGGTGAGCAAGCGGGGGCGTTCGTGCCTATGCGCCGTGCAACCACAACCGAGGGGGAAGCAGGCGCTGCTGTTGTTGTCTTCTGTTTTCGTGCGGCTGCTGTTTGCTGCTTGTTGCATGAACATTACGTTACCTTGATTGAGGACAGCAGCAGCCTGCCACACGACGATCAACAGCGCGCGGCGCAGCGCAGCGCAGAAGAAACGCAATCACACACAGCTCAATCAAGCACGACGGCTCGTGTGTTGAAACACGCACACACTCTCCCTGCTGAATCAAAGTACCAAAGGAGGAAGGCACGCACACCAAGAAGAAGAAGAAGAAGAAGAAGAAGGTCGGTTGGTTTGGTGTGGTGTGGGTTTGGTTGGAGTGTGGTTTGTGTTGGTTGTGGGAACGCTCCAACACATACACACCACACGCACCACATCGCTGGCTGGCCTTGCTCGTTTCCGTTTTCCTTGCGCCTCGAATGCGAAACATGCAGGGTGAGTGATTCGCCCGATTACAGACAATTATTGAAAGATTCAATATAATCGTCGATCCTGACGAAGGACCGAAGGCACCGAAGAGGTTGTTTGTGTGTGGATATGGGTGCAGCTTTGTGGTGTCACCGTCCGACTGTCACTGTCGCACTGTATCATCACTTCTCTTGTGTTGTTTATGTATCATGAGTTCTTGAACCAACAGTGTGGAATAGGCAGAGATGTGAACAACAGACAGTGGAGACTGCATCTGCCGCGAACGGAGCAGATCAACTGTTAGTGCATTGGAACAGAAGACAAAGAAGAAGATCTGAAGATGAACAACCCAAGAAGAAGAACACAATGAACACAATGAACACAATGGACAGTTCTAGAGTTTGAACAACTTGAATCAGGTGAGCAGATGAGCAGTAATGTAACAACGTAGCAATCTGAGAATCTGCTCTACATTTGCTTGTTCGAGCAAGGTGGACATACATGCTCATGCACAGATGCACCGATGAACACTTGAACAGAGGAAGGAAGGGAACCGAAGCAGAATCCGGGGTTTTTTTCTGTGGCTGGAGCGAGGGGCACAGGGAAACAACGACCACCCCGCCCCAGCAACAGGGAGCACAGCAATACAGCTCAACGCTGCCAGACCTCAAGGCTGGAAGACCATGCTGCGAATGTACGCAAGCACAACAGCGAGAATGACAGCGAGCGCTGAAATAAGCCGCATGGGGTGCGCCTGCAGGAGCTGCAAGCTATTGGCCACAAGCCCAAGCACGCTGGACGCTCTCTTCTGCTCTGTTGCAATTGCGCGCACAGCGGGCGCTATGTTGTTCGCCTCAACAACAAACGGCTGGTTGTGCGCGCGCGCATGTGTGCGAATGGCCTCAATCACTGCCTCACGTGTTTGCTGTCGCAGGGGCTGAGCCGCCCCCTCAAAGCGTCCGCCCTCAACAGCCGCCGCTTGCACCACAGCCCCCACGTTTACGCCCTGGTTGCGCAGAGCCGCTTGCACGTGGTCTGCTTGCCCAATGGCGTCTGCGCCCTCACGTTCGCAGCCCAAGATGACGGCAACACACGGCACCTGACTCTGGCACAGCCTCTCCACGAAGAGCGTGTAGTTGGACTTGTCGCCCGCAAGCAGCGCGCCGCGGCGCATCACCAGCACAACGGCGTGCACGCCCTGGGTGATGGCTGGGCCCAGCTGCTGCTGAACATCAGCACAGTATGATTCAAGGTCACCCGTGTTTGGATCGTCAATGGCCGCCTGCACGCTCGCCACTTGAACGTATTCCATTTGGTTTGGGTCCGGCAAGACTTGCTGTCCGCCAAACCGGCGCATGTTGTTGCCTCGCAACAGTTGTTGGACCTGAGCCCTGTCCGCTTCCTGGTCGCCGATGATCAGCACCCGATGTTGCAAAAACCTCATCATGGCTGCAGTGTCCTTGTTCCGTCGCGGCGCGAGTGTGAATGACGATGACAAACTTGTGAAAGTGAACTTGTGTAAATGTGTGTATATGTGCGTGTGTGCAAATGAACTTGGATTGAGTGACAGAGAGGGAGAGTGAGTGAGTGAGAGAAGGGGAGTGAGTGAGTGCACTTGTGACTATGAGAGAGTGTGTGCGTGTGTGTAGTGTGTGTGCGTGTGTGCGTGAGTCGCGCAATAGGCCAGTGGGTTGACACAAGGAAAAAATGGTTGTAATGTAACACAGTGCTTCCTTTGTTTGTGTTCATCTTTGTCTGCTTCGTTGAGTGCGGACAAGGTTGTGGTTGACTCAGCAAAGCTGCCTCTGCGGCCAGCTGTCTAGCTGTGTCCCTGCGTTACATGCTTCTTGCTTGCGTCTTGCTTCTTGGGGTTTCTTTGTTGTGTCTGTTTCGACACAGTCCCTGCCTCCAGTCGACGTATGTATGTCACCCCACCTCAGTCACGAGCAACACAGACAGTCACTGATGAGGAGAGAATAGCAACCGGGCGTTGGTGCTTTGGGGGGTCGGTGTGTCACGTCATGGTGTCACATCATGTGATTGGACCAGAAGTCTGTGACTCCAAGTTTTGGATTGCTGGAGCAACTGGCATGTGCAATGGGCGCAGCAGGGGCGGGGCATTCTTGCAAAGTGCTGTTGCACTTCTGCCATGTGCTTTGATGTGATGACACACATATTCGTGATTCTCCGCTTCTCCAATGCGGTGAAAGGAACAAAAAACAGACGTGTATTGGAACGAAGATTGGAAACAATGAACAGCGCACACACGCGCGCAAACCCCCCAACGGCAACACCACAGAGGGAGCAAGCGGCGCCAAATCACAACAAGCAAGAGCACTCGCTGTGTGTGTCGCTTGCTTGCAGGCAACAAAACAACTTCAGCACGGCTCAACAACCAACCAACAAGCAAGCACGGTGGAACGGAACGCAAAGGGGAGGGGGGAAAGGAAGAAACAGCTACATTTGAGTTTTGTTGTTGTTGTATGGGGCTGAGGGTGTGGAGTGTGAGGGTGTGAGGGTGTGAGGGGGTTCACTGGTGCGGGGTGATGGCAAAGGTGCGCAGGGCGCCGTCCTGGCCACCGCTCATCACAGTCGTGTCGTCAAGCCAGGCGACCTGCGTGTGTGAGTGAGTGAGTGAGTGAGTGAGTGAGTGAGTGAGTGAGTGTTTGTGTGGGTGTCAATGTGAGTGAGTGAGTGAGTGAGTGAGTGAGTGAGTGAGTGAGTGAGTGAGTGAGTGAGTGAGTGAGTGAGTGAGTGAGTGAGTGAGTGAGTGAGTGAGTGAGTGAGTGAGTGAGTGTGTGAGTGAGTGAGTGAGTGTGTGTGTGTGTGTGAGTGATTTAAATGAGTGTGAGTGTGAGAGTGTGAGTGTAAATGTGAGTGTGGGTGTCAATGTGTGTTTGGCCAGGTCGCTCACATTCATGTCCACCTCAACAAACACAGTTACCGCCACCCCAACCCCCACCCCCACATGCATCATCCCCCCACCATTGCGCCGTACCGCGGTGACGTCGTGCTGCGGGTGCGCGCCCTTGATGGCAATGCGCTTTGTTGCCTTGTCCATGTTCCACACAATCACGTTCGTGTCAAGCGACGAGCTGGAGCAGAGGACCAAGGAGACAGGAGGTGTGTATGTGTGTGTGTGCGTGGTTTTGTGTGCGGGTGAGTGAGTGAGTGAGTGAGTGAGTGAGTGAGTGTGAGCATCGAAGACCGCCAAACAGGCGTCAAATCCAAGGCTAGAATCATCGTCATCATCACAGTGGTTGCGCGCACCTTGCGAGGAGGCGGGAGTTGGGGCTCCAGGCGAGCGCGTTGATCTTCGCCGTGTGGAAGCGCCACCGGTTCATTTTCTACACACACACACACACACACACACACACACACAGAGACAGAAAGACAGACAGAAAGAAGCGGGTTCAGTCAAACGGGGGTGGATCAGGGGATGCGTGCCAGGCGTGCGGGTTGAAGTGGACAAGGATTATGTGCGCGCGTGTGTGTTCATGTGTGCGTGTGTGTGTGTTCATGTGCGTGTGTGTGTGTTCATGTGCGTGTTTGGTTGTGACTTACGAGGGAGAAGTCGCTGCGATCAAAGACGTACACGTTGCGGTTCGCATCACCTGCATACGCGCGCGCGCGCACACACACACACACACAGAGCAGTCGAAAAGGGGCAGAGTGAGAACAAGCACGAGGACTACGACATGTATGTACGCAAGCGTGCATTCGTGCAAGGCACACGTGTGCGTGCGTGTCTGTGTGTCAGTACCGGAAGCGAGGTGTGCTGCGTCTGGGGAGTAGGCGAGGGCGGTGACGGGGCCAGAGGCATCAAGCACCTACAGCAGTTTGCGATGAGGAACAGGACGACAGGGAAGGAGTGCGAGTGGCAGACGTGTTGAGGGAAAAATCGTGAGCCGAGCAAGCAAGCCACAGCACACACAGACACAGACATAAGCAAGGCAGACATCAACGCACACCACATCACCACCGAGAGGAGCGCGTGCACCTTCTTCTCGGCAAGGCCGGCGTCTGCCACGTCGTAAATGCGGATCTTGCCGTCCTTCCCGCCGACAGCGGCCTCCTTCGCATCTGGCGACAGCGCACACGCCTGGGCAGTGGTTGATTGGTGGCGGTGAGTGAGTGAGTGAGTGAGTGAGTGAGTGAGTGAGTGAGTGAGTGAGTGAGTGAGTGAGTGAGTGAGTGAGTGAGCGATTGAGTGATTGAGTAAGTGAGTGTGTGTGTGTGTCGCTGGTAGCGCATGCACGTGCGTTAACACGTGTTGTGCTCTCGCCTTCCTCTTTCCAATTGTACGCACCTGTGGCTCGTAGTCGACCGGCAGGCGGGCTGTCACGTTACCGCGCACAACCACCTGAACGCGGCAGAAGATGTGCACATGCATGTGTGAGAGAGGATGTGAGCGAACGTGTGCACACGTGTGAACCATCAACTTCCCGAAACGACAACGCGAGCACAAAACAAAACACGATTCTTTGAATTCAACATACAAGTCTGGCACACACAGAGACACACAGACACGCACACACACAGACACACACACACACACAGACACACAGATAGACAGACAGACACAGACAGACACATACGCGCGCAGGTATGCTGTTTTGACCTCGTTGAGGCAGGCGATGAGGGTAACACCGGCGGCGTGCGCCACGTCGTTGGGCGTGCTCTCCACCTCAAAGTGGTTACTGGTCGGACGAGGTGCAAGGGCGGGGACGGAGGCAAAGATGCATGCAGGCAACACAATCACAATGTGAGTGCAATGGGAGCGTGGAGGGAAAATACGGAAGAGAAACGACACCCAGAGACCAGTGACACACGGACGGACACGGCCAGTCACAGACGAAGAACACGAGCAGTGACACGAATAGCGACAGAGGCGCATGCGTAGACGCAGACGCAGATAGATACGCACGCACGCACGCACGCACACACACACACACACACACACACACACACACACACACACACACACACACACACACACACACAAAGCAGCAACAGGAGCGTACCCGAGGGCGTCTGCGCCGAGCGGGGTGACGGCTGCGGTGTCGGCGATGGAGGCGGCCACAAACACGCCGTCAGCAGCCGCCATGGCGAGCACAGAGTTGTCAAACGACTGCTTCAGCTCCGTCGCAAGCCCGCTCGACAGGTCGTACCGGCACACCTTGCCTGCAGGCACGCACAGTGAGTGAGAGAGTGAGAGAGAGAGAGAGAGAGAGAGAGTGAGTGAGTGAGTGAGTGAGTGCCAGTTTGTGTGTGCGAGTGAGTGAGGTAGGTGAGTGAGTGAGTGAGTGAGTGAGTGAGTGAGTGAGTGAGTGCATGTTGTGAGTGATTGAGTTGTGAACATTTGTTTGCACCATGTCCTGTCGCCCACCATCATAGGAAGCGCTGTACGCCTCGCCAGATCCAGGCACGGCAGTGAGCGCAGTGATGGCGCGGTTGTGGCCCTGGTGGGGACGGAGAAGGAGGTGAGGTGGGTGGAAGGGGGGGGGGGGTAGCGTGGGCAGGACGGATCGAGCGAGGCCAGCAGGAACATCACATTACACCACACGCACGCACGCACACACACACACACACACACACACACACACGCACACGCACGCACGCACACACACACACACACACACACACACACACACACACACACACACACACACAAACATTTGCGTTACCGTGATGACGCGCTTTGGGGTGGCGGGGTTTGCTTCGTCGAGGAAGTAGATGTGGCCGTTGAGGCCAACAGAGATGATGTGCTCGCCCTAAACCATTACATACACATGCACACATGCATACGCACATGCACGCAGAAGCAGGCGGGGTGAGAAGGAGACGTAAGGCGGAAGCAATGAGAGGACACAGAAGGGGAGTGGCCCGCGATGGTCGCAAGGGAGAGCGGAGAACACGAATAGCAAGCAAGTACACAGCCCAACACCCGCCGCACTCACTATCATCAAACACCAACAACACGACCACCAGCACCAGCACCAGCACCAACAACACGACCAGCACCAACAGCACGACCAGCACCAAACGGACCATCCAGAGGCAGCCGAGCTGCTGGTTGTCGAGCGCGTCCTCAAAGGGGAACGCCGTCACAAGCTCCTTGCTCTCCGCATTCCACATCTGCACGCGGTGTGGTGATGGGGAAGTGAGGAGGGAAAGAGGGAGGAGGAGGAGGAGGAGGGGAATTCGAACATCGCATGCAGACAAACAAGAACGACATGGACATACATACGCAGACACACACACACACACACACACACACACACACACACACAGAGCAGCAAGAGCAGCAGCAGCGAGAGCAGGACCTTGACGGTCATGTCGGCGGATGCGGTGATGAAGCGCTTCGAGTCGGCGGACCAGCTCACAGCATACACGCCGCGCTATGGGGCAGTGGTGCGCATGCACGAATGCACGAATGCACGAACGCACGAATGCATGGGCGTGTGGGTGCGTGTTAAGTGAGTGCGTGTTGGGGCAAAGAGGAGGTCATGGTTGGTGGTGGTGGTTGGACGGTATATGTGAGACAATGCCATTCCAGTGTGCAATCAAGCAAGCTTCATGTTCAAGCACCACGAAGCATCAACGTGTGCGCGTGTGTGTACCGCGTGCGCCTTTTCGCCGTCCTTGAGCTCGGAGAGAAGCTCGCCCGTCTTGCCGTCGTACACAAACACCTGTGCAATGTGTGCAGCGATGGCGTGATGGAGGTGACGCAGTCAGGCCTCTTCGCTTCAGCATGGAACACACACCACACAACACACACGCACACGCACATACATATGCACACAGACAGACACAGACGCGCACACACGCACACACAGACAGACACACACACAGTTGATACATCTGGCCCTTCCCCCCGCCCCTGTTGTGCGCTGTGGGTGCAGGCTTTACCTTGCCGTCTGCGCCGGCGGAGACGAAGAAGGCGCCGTCGGGGGAAAAGCGCACAGAGTTGACAAAGTTGGAGTGGTTCTGCACACACGCACGCACGCCATAGTAGTAGTAGTGGTGGTGGTGGTGAGGGTGATTGGCGATGAACATGGGCCGTTTTTTGTTCGTGCGTGCATGTGCGTCTGTGTATGTGTATGTGCGTCTGTGTGTGTGTGTGTGTGTGTGTGTGTGTGTGCGTACGTTTGACTTGTGGTCGAGCTTGAAGGGCGGGCCGGCGTAGAATCCGACGTGCGCATCGTCAGAGGCTGTCGCCACGCGGTACGGCCGGTTCTAGCGCGGACAGCAGTGGGCGAAGGGATGGTGATGGTAGGTGGTGGTGGTAGGTGGTGATGGTGGTGGATATTGCATGGATTGTGGATGATGTTGGGTGGATGGATGGTAAGGTTGAATGGGTTGAATGGGACGGATGAGCGACAAGCAGGGGAACCCGCGCTCAAAGGTGACAATGTACAAATTGCATCTGCACACGTGCATGAGCGCGACAAGAAGCAACACCACCATCACCACCACCAACAAACAACAGCATGGTGTGCATGTGTGCGACGTACGGGCTTGACGTCGATGGAGTTTGCGACCTTTGTGTGGCCAATCAGCTCTCCAACAGATGAGCCGCTAAGTGTGCAGGGCGGTGTGGTGGGACGGTGGTGTGGGCGAGGGTGTGTCGTTGGTGGCAGTGTCACGCTTGTGCAGGGGTGATGGCATGTGAAACAACAACAACAACAACAACAACAACAACAACAACAACAACAACAACAACAACAACAACAACAACAACAACAACAACAACAACAACAACAACAACAACAACGCCGTCGTAACTGCACCTGTCCCAGAGAAAGGCGTGTGCGTAGCGCTCGCCGCTCTCGCCGCACACGACAATGCGCTTGCTGTCCTCTGTCCACGCAAGGTCTGAGAACAAAGACGAAGGGCGAGGTAGTTGGTGTGCAGTGTCGCGGCGTAACTCTCATGTATGTGACAACTACAAACACACACACAAACATACACACACGCACACACACACACACAGACACATACACACACACACACACACACACACACACACACGAACACAGACACACAGACACACATCCCACCCCCTTCTCCGCAACACACGTGCGACAATGTCGTGCGGGTGTTCGTACCGAGGATGCGGCCTGCGAGCGGGCGGTACTCGTACTTGAGCGCGTGCTCCTCCTGCGTCGTGTCCCAGATGCGAACCTTGCCCGTCACATCTGCACCACAACCGACCACAACCATCACAACCAACCGCAACCGCAAACACAAGCAGCAGCCACAAGAAGCACAAGCATGTGTGTGTGTGTGTCAGCAGCATGTAACAAGGTATCGTGGTGTACAGGAGTGGTGACGAGCGGACGAGCACAGGCAGTGCAGCAGGACATTACAGCAGTGATGTGCACACGCGTGAGTGCATTTTACCAGCAGCAAACTTTTCGAATCTTTGACTATCACACACACACACACACACATGTACGCACCTGCGGAGGCGACGTAGAAACCGGATGGGGCAAACTTGGCCACGGTGGTCTGCGCAGCGTGCTCGCTGTACGTGTAGCCCTTGGATGGGTCCTGTGACGTGTGACGGTGCGCATGTCAAGGATTCGATTGTCGGTGGGGGGAAAGCTGTGCCAGCACAGAGAAACAAGGAGGCACACAAACACAAATGCAGAAGGGCAGAGCGGCATTCAAAACACAAAGACAGACCGGCACATGCGCGCCTGCACGCAGGTCCACACACATGTACGTACACACATGCACAACCAACGAACCTCGACATCGCGGACGACGATGGTTTTGCCGTGAGGGTAGACAAAGTACTTGCCCTTGGGATCGGCACTGAGCACAAAGGGCTTGCCGCGCTCGCAGCGTGGGTTGGGCAGGTACACCTCCTCTGCAAAATCCGAAAGCACAAACAACACACAGAGGGGAAGAGAGAGAGAGAGAGAGTGTGTGTGTGCGTGTGTGTGTGTGTGTGTGTGTGAAGGTATGGTTGGTTACGAAAGTAATGCACTGGTCACCGCCAACACACACACACACACATACACGCACACACAGACACAGGCAGACGGACAAACAAGCAACAACGACGGCCGCGTGTTGAGCGTTGGTTCCAGTTTGCGACTCAGCACAATTCAACATGGTGCAGGACTGGTACAGCACTCACTTGCTTCGAAAGACATGGTTGTTGTTGGTGGTGCTGTTGGTGCTGTCTGTATCTGAGTCTTGATATCTGCGTCTGAGTGCTTGTTTCCGTGTGCTGGTTCCAATCGAGGTCCTTTTCCGTTGCAACAAAAGAGAGCAAATACATACATAACACATTGCAGTGAGCACTCGATGCGACCAGTCTAAACACTGCTCCAGAATAGAACATGGCTTCACACACACACACACACACATGGCTTCACATACATGGCTTCACATACGTGGCTTCATACATGGCTTCACACACACACATACAAACACATACAAACAAACACACACACACATACAAACACACACACGCATACCCAAACATGACGCACATACACACACACACACATCCTCACGCACACACACACATACACACACGCACACTCCCTCACGCATACCCAAACATAACACACACTGTCTCGCTCCCCACCAACAAACCACCACTGCAAATGCCGCACACATTTCACTCACGTCGTTCGTCTGACAAATCCAGCTCGTCGTCTTCCTCTTCTTCCTTGTTTGGCTTGGAGCTGTCAAATGTGACAGTTCTTGCCTTGCTCTCAAAATAGCGCATCCCGCCCATTTAAGAACATCTTCGTAAATCTTCCACCACTCTTCCTCTCACGGCTTCTGCTTTGCGCACACACACGTGGTGGTGGTGTTGGCGCTTGTGCCTCATTCGCTGCCTGTCTCTTCCGTGTGCACTCTCCACACCCCACACCGACCAACCACACACACCAACCGACCATGCCGCGACCACCCCGCCCTGCCGCGGCCATCATCACGGCCAAGAGTGAGTTGTTCAGCGCAGTGTCCAATGCTCTGTGTGTGTGTGAAGATAGAGTGCACTGTCATGGACGTGCATGTGTGTGCACGTGTGTGCCTCTTGCTTGTGACTCCTTGAGGCTGCCAGTGACCGAGCAAGCTCACTTCAGCTTTGCACCGAAGCCACCCACCACTGAATCTCACCCATCGCATCACCCCTCCTCCTCCTCCTCCTCCTCCTAACACGCGCACACAGAACTCATCAATCACGACAAGCGCCACCATGCTCGCGAGGAGCTCATGAAGGTGCTCAGCGGCCGCCGAAGGTTCGTCCACCACACCTCATCATGGCCATCATCCACTCACACTCATCCTCATGCTTCCACCATGCACTCACTCGTTCTCCTTACTCCCTCACCCACTCATCCCCCCTCGGTGCTTCCGTGACCGCCTCAGGTTTGACTGGTCACTGGACCACGAGAAGGCCGCTCTCATGTGCATCAAGATTTGCATCGACCTCAAGAAAGGTACACAACAAAAGGAGCTTGGTTCTCCCCCATTACCTCTCCCTCTTTCGTTTCAAACCACACCTTCTTGGATTGTGAGATGATGATTTACAACTTGGTCCGTGTTCCCGATTCCTGTTCATCAGGGTGTTGAAGCCAAATTCAAGTTTACCGATCACACATCCAACCACACTTTTGTTCAAAGACAATGCTCTTGTCTTTCCCTCTTTTGCTGCCGTCCACAGCGTCCCCCCTCTCCTCTTCTCCCGCTTTCCTTCTTTCTCCCCTTGTGCTGAGTTTGTGAGACGATGATTTGTAACTTGGTCCGTGTTCCCGATTCCTGTTCATCAGGGTGTTGAAACAATTCAAGTTCACTGATCGCAAACCACACACTTTGCTGTGCAGTGAACACACAAGTTCTGCACAGCCTCCCGCAATTGTTTTGTCTCCTCTTCTTCTTCTTCACCTTCCCTTTTCCTCTTCCGTTCACGCTGCCGCTGTTGAGATGATGATTTACAACTTGGTCCGTGTTCCCGATTCCTGTTTATCAGGGTGTTGAAGCTAAATTCAAGTTTACTGATCAATACGCAGCGTCTTTGTTTTGACTCTCCCCATTTTCACGTTTGCCTTTTTGACACACACACACAACACACACACTCCTTCGCTCACTCGCTCACTCACCCCCCCCCCCCCACGCACACCACTGCCACACAGGTCCCGAGGCAAAGGATGTGCTGCACAAGTACCGCAACATGACCGGCGAGAAGCACAAGGACTCGTTTGAGCGCGTGCTCACCCTGTACCTGTCCGAGTGCCAGCGCCGCTTCGACATGGCGGAGCGCGTCGCCCGCGGTGAGCAGGTCACAGAGCCCAAGATGGTCTACTTTGACGATGAGGACGAAGCAGACGAGGCGGACGAGGACGAAGAGGAGGAGGAGCACAGCGACGCTGAGGCTGAGCCAAAGGCCGAGGAGAAGAAGGAGGCGCCCGCAGCTGCCCCCGCCTCCACCGTTGAGGACGACGAGGCCACCAAGGCGCAGAAGGCCAAGCTCGAGGACCTGGAGGAGATGGAGACGCCCGAGTCTGTGCTCATGGCTGCCGTCACCACAATGGGCACCAGCGACCGCACCTGGCGTGCCGTCGCCGCCCCGTGGCTGCGCTTCCTCTGGGAGGCGTACCGCAACTGCCTCGATGTCCTCAGGTGTGAGACGCCAGCCTTTTGTGCTAAAAGCTAAATGTCTGAGGGAGAATGGTGGCGTTGCATCTGGTGGTCTCATCAAACCCTTGCGGTAAAAAAAAACGGCACCCTTCGCTTGCTTGTGCGTGACTGCTGTCTGTTTTGCACATTCACACACATTCACACACACACACACACTCACACACACACACACACGTATTTACACTTCCCGCATCACATCAACTCATATTTATTGCCACCCTACCCACTTGCTAATCAAACAGGAACAACGTGCACTACGAGCAGCTGTACTACCAGACGGCGCGTGACGCCATGGAGTTTTGCAAGCGCCACAACCGCCGCATGGAGTTTAACCGCCTCTGCGACACGCTGCGCAACCACCTGCGCCAGTCGTACACGTGGAAGTCGGACACCAACATCAAGCTGCGCAACGAGGACACCTTTGAGCGCCACGTGACGCTGCGCCTCACCGCCGTCAAGTTTGCCCGCGACCTCTCCCAGTGGCGCCAGGCCTACCGCGTCATCAACGACGTCTCAGACCTCCTCAAGGACAGTGCTGTGGTGCGTATTCAACAATCACCTCTGTCCGTGTCTGCCTTCACTTGACTTGGTTCGCTTAGTTGATTTGCCCCACACACGAGCAAACAGAACCAGCGTTGCACATTTGGCAACGCTGCATACATTCCCTTGACTCGTGGCAACCCAATTCCCAAGCTTTACACACACCCTCTTATTAACGACCCACTGCACTCGGTTGTCCCTGACAGATCCCCAAGATCCGCACGTCGTACAACTTCCTGCGCCTTGTTGCTGAGCTGTTCGTGCGCAGCCGCGACTTTGCCTTCCACGCCGCTGCCTGCCAGCAGATTTTCCTCCTCTGCCAGGACTGGCCCAGCGACTTCTCCGACCAGGGTTGGTCCCACAGTTGGTGTTGGTGTTGGTGGCCGCTATTCCTTTTATGACGTTGCTCTGTGTGCTTGCAGTTCAGTGTCGCATCATCTCCCTTTTGTCACACGTTTCTCCGACAATGCCCGGGGTTCTTGTTGTCCACCCTCACCACTGATTGTATTACCTGTCTTCCCCTGCCCCTCACGACAGAGATCAGCGCCGCCGCAAACGTTGCCGTGCTGTCTGCTCTTGCTGTGCCCATTGCCAAGAACGACTCGAGCATCAAGGACGCCAACGCCTTTACCGGCCGTGACTACCAGACCCGCCGCGAGGGCCAGTTCAAGGGTGAGTTGAATCAAGCCACACGTTGATGCCGTTGCTGAATCGGCCCGACGACTGAAGTCCTTCCTGCTCAGTTGAACGCAGAAATGCGCTGCTCTCTCTCTCTCTCTCTGTTTCCTGCCTTTCTCATGGACTGACCGGTTGCCTCTGCTTCCTTTTCTGTTCAGCCCTTCTCAAGCTGCAGACTGTTCCTACCCGTCAGTCTCTCCTTGAGTCCCTGGTGAGGTTTTGGACAACGGCATTTTGCTTGTCGCTGTCTTGTGCGAAACGCAAGCAGTTCCATTGTGCTGTGAACATGTGCTCCCACTGAATCGGCTCGTTCTCATTTCACACCAATGCTTTTCACGTCGCGTGCAGAACGAGAGCTCTGCCCTTGCCCTTGCCCACGAGGACGTCCGCGGCCTGTTTGGTCTCGTCGAGCTCGAGTTCAGCCCCGACCGTCTGCGCGACCAGGTTCGCCTGTCTTCATCTTGATGCATGACTGCCGGCATCCTTGGACACTCTCAACAACATGCAACAACGACTGGTCGTGTGTTTGTGTGCTGACATGCAATCGTTTGTGGTGATTGCCTTGTTGCTAAGCCATCACCTTTGCGCTGTCGTTCACCTTTGCGTCTACCCTCCCTCATCTCTACCCTCCCTCGCACCACCCTGTTTTTTGTCAACAGGCTGTGAAGATGTTTGCGCTCTTCTCCGACGATGAGGAGTTTAGCAAGCGCAAGTACCAGTCGTACCGCGACGTGCTGGAGTACGCCATCTCCATGCGCATCCTCACACAGGTTGGTTCAACCTCGAGCAGCGCTTTTGCGTTTCATGGCATGATACAGCCACGTTCCTGCTGTCTTCCCATGGCATTGTCGCCGCCTTCTACCCTCTTTTGCCTGTCCTCCTTTTCCTTCATTTGCGGAACTATGATGCAACAATTTAACTTACCTACATTCCTCGAACTGCACCAAGCAGTCATGAGACAAACCTTATTCGTCAACTGAGTTCCACATGTGTCTCCCCCCCTCCTGTACTCAAGCTTAGCGAGCTGTTTATCATGGTTGCATTGCTTTTGTCCTCGTGTTCTCAACCATCACTCGCTTACTCACGACTCTGTCCAACCATGTGGTTTTCCTTTCTATCGCGCCCTTGTGATCTCGGCTTTAGCTCTCGTACGTGTACACGACCATGACTCTGGACAAGCTTCAGTCATGGCTTCCCTTCTGCAACAGCTACTCCAAGGTAACAATATTGTAAATCACACTGCCCACGACCCAGCTGCGTGTGGCTGGCTGACTAGACGTTGTTTGGTGCTTGCTTTGTTTTGGTGCGAAGGCAAACAACTTGTCTTCTCAAACTTTTCAAATCATCTCCGAAACAAGCCTTCACACGCACTGTTTTCCCATTCTCCCACTTTGTCCTCGCTTTGTCCTTGTGTCGTTTCAGCTTGAGCTGCACATTGCCAATGCCGTCAAGGCTGGCGTGTTGCATGTGCGCTTTTCCCACTTTGACAACTGCATCAAGTTCACCTCGGGCGTGCAGTCGTCCAACGTGCACCGCAGCGCCGGCGCCGAGCTCGAGTCTCTCCGCGCCCGCATGAGCCAGAACCCGCTCAGCACCCTCGCAGGGTAAGCCTTTTCGCATCTATAGGCGTGCTCATGTATCTGTGCGTGCGTAGGCGCGTGTGTTTTGAGTTCTGCTTACCTGCACACCACCCGCTCGGTGTTTACCTACCAACCCTCAAATTTCCCACGCCATTCACCACGGCATGTTCCGCGTTTGCTTGCTGCCCCCAGTCGCCTGCAGGTTGTTGGCCACATGATTGAGCCCGAGCAGCTGCGTGCACCGCTTGTGTCTGGCATTGCCGAGGCTGCGGAGAAGGCGCGCCACGAGATGCACAGCCGCCAGGATGTGCAGCTCAAGCGCCGCATGGCCGAGAAGCAGGCCCAGCAGGAGGAGCAGCAGCGCCTTCGCGAGAAGCAGCTCCGCGTACGTATTGCGTCCCTGTTCGCCATATTGCTTTTTTTTTGCAGTTTAGGTGTTGCTGTGGCTTGTGAGTGGCTGCTTCTGCTGCTGTGTCGCGCCGCACTCCTGCGCGTGCCCGTGTATGTATGTGTTGCTTGCGTCCACGCGTGTGCATCGGTTTGCCCTTGCTTACACGTGTGCGTGTATGTGTGTGCCTGTTTTGCATGTCCCGGTGGTGTGCACAGAGTGACCAGGAGATGCTGAAGAAGCGGGAGGAGGCTGAGAAGCGCAATGCCGAGGAGCGCGAGCGTCGTCTCCGCGAGAAGGAGATTCGCGAGCAGGAGCTCCAGGAGGTAACGCCGTCCCTTGCTTGATATTGCCAGGTCAACGCATCACGGCCCCCTGACGTTGTGCTTCACCTTTCCCCTTGCCTCCTCAAGCACAACCCGCAATCTTCAGCATGACCATACCTCCTCGTTTTACCCACATCTCACAACTTACTCACATTTCAACGTCTCGCCCACTTTGTGTCTGCATCCGCTTGAAATGTTCTCTGGTGCTTACCTCAGGTTCGGGAGCAGCTTGACCTGTACATGCGCACGGAGGATGGTCAGAAGGCGTTTTCCTCGTACAAACGCTCGGAACTTGAGCAGAAGAGCCTGGACGAGCTGTGGCAGATTCTGTCCAAGTACCAGACCAAGGCCCGCAAGGAGCGCGAGGAAATGGTGCGACCGTTTTCGCGAGTGTTTGCGCTACTGTTTGTGCACCTGTGCGTTTGGTTGCATTAACGGCAACTGCCTGGATTCATGTCGACAAATTGGTTGCTGTCTCTGTGATTGGTTGAGCGTTGTGCATGGCCCGCGTTCCACCACATTTACCTTGTGGCGTATCGTGTTTGGTTGTGATCTTCTCCGTGTTCCTGCGCCTTGCTCACCATCACTCTGTTCCCGCTACATGTTTGCTTTTGCATGGATCCTGCGTTTCGTACCGTTCCGTTGCCACGGCTGCAGCTCTCCAAACTTCAGAAGCGCATTGACTTCCTTGAGCGTGCTCGTCGCCTTGCCGAGATTCCCAAGCGCAAGGCGATGAACGCGAAGGAGGTTGAGGCCCGCAAGGAGAAGGCCGAGGCCGCTGTTGAGAAGGAGCGCAAGCGCCAGGCCGCCGAGCACGCCAGCAAGCTCGCCCTCAAGGCCCGCTTCAGCAAGCTGAAGAAGCCCACGCTTGCATTTATCAACGACATAACCACACCGCGTCGGGCGGCATTCGATAAGCGCCTTGCTGAGTTTGAAACGCGCTTTGCCGAGCAGGAGGAGCGCAAGCGCAAGAAGGAAGAGGCGGAGCGTCGCGCGTACGAGCAGAGCCAGGAGTACAAGGACAAGCTTCGTCGCGAGGCGGAGGAGGAGGAGCGCCGACAGCGCGAGGAAGAGGAACGCCTCGAGCAGCAGCGCATCATCGAGTCTGGTGTGTTGTTTTGGTTGTATTGTTTAGGCTGTGCTTGCGTTTTGTTCACGTTGGCGTGTTGATGTGCTGTGGTGTCGCCTTTGTCGTCTTGGCTCTTTTTTTGTCCTAGTTGCGTCTTTTGTTTGTGCTTTGCAGGTTTGATGAACAGTGGTGCCATGTGTTTAGCTTTTGTGTGCTTACGACAACCTCTTGCATGCGCGTTTCCACTTTGCAGTGGCCCATAATACTGAGGGTGTCCTCGAGCCAGGTGAGCAGGCGGGAAATCGCAGTTTGCCTTAGTTGTATTGCATTGCCATTTGTTCCTTCATTATCTTGTTCTGAATTGCGAATTGTGAGTTTTACACTGTTTTTATTCTCACGTCTTGCCGTGTCTGCTTACGTCGTCACTTGTGTGTCTACCATCAGAGCGCCGTGTTGAGGACGAGTCTGGCGATGGCTGGGAAACCGTTACTTCAGCACGCAGTGAGTACTGTTGTAAGAGCGCGCGTGCCCCTGCATCGTTGTAACGATGAGAGCCTGTTGAGGCCCACACGGGTTGTTCTTGTTCTTCGATCGTTTGCCGATCTTGGTCACCCGTCAAACGCCACTCGTCAAATGCCACTTGGCTCACGCTGCGTCATCGTGCTTTGCTCAACACTTCCACCAACACCTTGCAGCCGCCAAGCACCAGCACCACCAGCAACAACAGCAACAACAGCAACAACAGCAACAACAGCAACAACAGCAGGCGGCCCCCGCCCCCGCACCTGTTGCACAGCGGGCGCCAGCTCCAGCGGAGCCCGAGCCGTCCCGCTATGTGCCACCGTCTGCGGCCCGCGAAGCAGCTCCTCCCCGCGAAGCAGCGCCGCCGCCAAGCGACAGCTACCGCCCCCCTGCAGCTCGCACCGGCGCCGGTGACCGCCCTGCTGGCGGCGCATGGCGTACTGCTGGCAGCGGTAGTGCCGGTGGCGCATCGCGCGGCCCTCCACAGCGCGACATGACCCGCTCCCGCACCGCCGGCTGGGGTCGCGGTCAAGACGGTACGCACGAACCCAGTGCTTTGAAATAGTGATGTTTGGGGTGGTACATTGTGTGTGTGTGTGTGTGTGTGTGTGTGTGTGTGTGTGTGTGTGTGTGTGTGTGTGTGTGTGTGTGTGTGTGCGTGCGTGCGTGGGGGGGGGGGGAACCCGCAGATGAGGGTTGCACTTTTGTCACGGGGTTTTGCGTTTGGTTTGTGGGTTTGGGTGTTGTGTTTTCCGCGCGGGTGTTTGTTACCATGTTTCATCTCCTTTGTCCATTTTCTTGTTGTGCTGTTGCTTCATTTTTCTTTCAGATCGCCGTCGTCCACAGGACGCGTCTGGCCGCGACGAGCGCAGATTCGACCGAGTGCGTTTCATGTTGTCATTTGTTATGCGAGCACTGCGAGCACTTGAGCAACCTTTGTCCTCCACGTCCTGCGTGTCTTCCACCACGTTGCTCACACCATCCGTCCTTGTGGTTTGTTTCCTCGGAACAGGAGGCTGCGCATGAGGCTGAGGCTGAGGAGCGCTCGATGACGCGTGGTGCATGGGGCCAGAACCGCGACCCCGGCCGCGGCCGCCGTAAGTTGTCTGCTTATCGTGTTGGTTGGCGTTTTGCATGCTGATTGAATTTAATTGTGTGCGACCTTGTTTTGATGAAGTGACATGCAATGCAATGATGCTATGGTGCTACATGAACCAGATGACTCACAGTGGTGTTCTTGCTTTCTTCGCTTCTGCTTCAATGCCGACCCTTGCCTTCCCATCTTGCAGCTGGCAAGGCGCGCCAAGGTGGTGCTTCGCGGACTGGCGGTGCCTGGCGTTAAGCAGACACGCCCACGTCGCAACAGTGCATTGCATGTGTGCTCGACACACAAACAAGCACACATGCATGATTTGAGCATGGCTTGTTCTTCCCCTCTTTCCTATCCCCCTCCTTTCTTTGTTCTTCCCTCCTTTACACGTTTCCCCCAGTACACACGTCAACACGAAGCAGCCAGACAGATGGGTTTTACGGGAGAGAGGAAGAATGCACACGCTTACTGTCTCAGATGCGGAACACGGACAAAAGGAAGGAAAGTGGGGTGGTGGCGTGACATGGAGAACGAGGGAACATGACTGAGACAAGGGAGGCGACAGAAAACAAAAAACAAACAAAAAACAAGCGAGGTGACATGATGTGACACGCCGCGGGGAAGTACATTTGCAGGAGGGTAATGCAGAGCAGAGGAGGGCAAAGCAACGCACGTTTGACATAAACAAGAGATTGTTTTCTGGTAGGGTTGTGGTTGGGAACAGGCACGAGAACGGACATGGAGCTACTCTGATTGTTTTTGTTGTGTTTTTTGCTTCTCGTCTTGGCTCTGTTGCTGGGGTTGGCTCTCGGTGGCGGCGGTGGCGGTGTCCTTGGTCGTCTCCTGCTCGTCCCCCGACTTGCCGTCCGTCTCAATCACCTCCTGTGTGTGGTCGACCTGCAGCCGCCGGTGATGGTAGTGGTGGTGGTGGTGGTGGTGATGATGGTGGTGGTGGTGACATGAAGCACAAAACAAAAAGGAGGAGCATTGGGTGCAAGGCGTGGGCGTTGTCAACATCATAGAACACGAGCGCACACGTAGACACAGCAACACAGAGAGAGAGACACACAGAAGCACACACACACACACACACACACACACACACACACACACACTCTCTCTCTCTCTCTCTCTCTCCTGCTCACCCTCACACTCAAACACACGCACGCACACGCGTCACTTACCATGCCTGTGGGCTTGGACTGTGTGCGGCGAGGGATGTTCTGTGCAGTGGCAATGACCTTGCCCGTCTGTGTCTTGACACCTGCGCTGCTCAGGGCATGGTCTGCAGAGTCAAAGTACTTGCGCTCCTGTTTGAGGATACATGTGACGGCGAAAAGGGCGACAGTCCAATAGAACGTGAATGTGCGACGCGGGGGGGGGGGGGCGGGTGTGCATGTTGGCAGGCAGGCACAAGTGCAGGCAGGCGTGTGAAACTGAGGCAAACAGCCACAACTACAAGCAGCCACCACTACCACGATGCAGCGCATCAAGGAAAGGCATGGGTGCGCACACGCATGCAAGAAATGATACACTGACTCCAGCGGAATACTTGCTTCACTCCCAGCACCCGCAACCCACAAGCCAGCACCCAAATACTCAACAAGCACGCCCGTTTGCATGCTTTCTGCCGTACCCGGCCGGAGAGCTTGCCGAGGGGTCCCTTTCTTGGTCGAGGCGCGCGGCCAAACTTGCGCATCTTCTCCTCCTGGGCCTGGATTGTGGGGTCCATGGTTTCCGTCTGAAGACGTGGTCGTGCGTGGTGTCAAGTGAGTTTGTAGTTGTTGTTGTGGATGATGATGATGATGATGATGATGATGATGATGATGATGATGATGATGATGATGATGATGATGATGATGATGATGATGATGATGTATGTTGTTGTTGTTGATGTATTGTTAGTTGTTGTTTAGTTGTTGTTGTTGTTGTTGTTG